CATCTGCTACTGGTAAATCGTCTTTCAGTTCAGTCCATGTCAGAACACACAATCTGTTTTGCATCATTCTTCAGTCTGTTCGACGTCTTCAACTGCTCCCTTTTCTGTGCCCGTCGACCTCCATTGAACAGCTTTTCCCCCCCTCTTCAAAAGTGAACTAGACCCACAAATAGTGTTGCCCAAAATCGGTCTTGGTCTTGCACATTGCAAGGCCAAGACCAAGGCTGCCTACCTGTTGCAAGACCAAGACCAGGACTGGTAAAAACAATCGATTTTTTAAATAAAAATTAAGGCAAAATAGTTACAAATACTTGACAATCTTAGTTACTATATGTTAATAATTGGTATAACCAATGTACTTTTGCATTTAATTCCCCTAATTTATCATTTGGGCTTAGTTAGTTTTCTCCTATCTAAAAAATTACAGTAATATCTCTGTATTAATAAGCTAATAAGTAACTGCAAGACTGATGCGAGACTCTTGAGCATGACCAAGACTGAGTTTGCAAGACCAAGATTAGTCTCGGTCTCGCATTTGAGCAGCACTACCCAAAAGTTACGTGCATCAGCACATAATGTTCTCAAACTGCAGAAAGCACTACTTGGTCATAAGCTGAGCGAACTACCTCTCCGTTTAGAATGTGGAAACGAACCTCTCTTAGGAGTGTGGCCCTCTGGGTCTCATAGATAGTACATGAAATAATGATGTGCTTGGGGTTTTCTCGTGGACTGAAACATAGGACATACTTTAAAAAATCTATAATATCTTCACAGTCTCCGCTCAAACTAAGAGGAGCGCACACTATCTCTCCGCAAGATTCAGATCTGCTATCGTTCGGTTCCTGTTACTCCACCCAATAACCGCTACATTCTGATTAGAGGTGCAAGATTAAAATGGTTAGCTGAGTTAAGATTTGCTACCAACCCTCTGTTTTTGATACAATCTTCCAATTTTATTTTAAAATTATGGATAATTTTTCAAACATTATTATAAATCTTATGGAAACAAAGTATTTTAATATTCTTCACGAATAATATAATATTCTTTGAAATTTTTTATTCGTATATTCTGACGAGTAAAAAATTCAACTTGGTGATTCATTCATGCTGAAATTCTACTTCAACTGTTTTACTAAATAAAGGCAACTTCAGCCTTAACCACTTATGTCTACTTCGCTTTCATAATTAAAGGCTTACTTTGGTAAAGCATTGACAGGTTAGAGAATCTCTCATCAACTTGGAAGTTCGAACTTTGACTTTGTTTAATATTTTTTCAAGTATAGACTAACTAAAATAATAATCTCAACTATAAAGTTTATACCTTATCATTAGATTTCTATTGTATTATTCATATTTAGAAACATTTAATAGATATATAAACAATCTGAAACTATTGATTAACATTCTACAAGATAAAATATTAGTAATAAAAAGACGATACTATTTATTACCAAAGTATCAATTCAAAAAGATACTAGAACGGAAAATGCTGATATTAAAAAATTAAATATGAATAGATTTTGCCATAAAATAAAAAATATATAAAACTGACTAATTTATTTTAAAATGTTATTTCTATTGAGGCCATAAATTGACAGGATGTCATTCACTTAATTCAATGTTCGTTTTATATTTGCATTTAGTTATTGTTTTAACTTTTCTTAAAAATACTTCTGCTAGGAAAAAAATTCAATAATTTTGCATAAAATTTCTTTAAAACATATTTTTCTCGTAACATCTATTTCAGTTTGTTTAATGTATATATAAAATATTATGTTTCCTGTAGAATACTTTTATATTATCATTACAGTACAATTTTTTATATGTTCTTCAAAATAGAAAATTTCTATATTATTTAATAATCTATTTATTGGTAAAAATAAACCATATGTGGTATATAAGACTTTTGCATATTTGACATTTGTTCTTTCATTAATTAATATAAATTTCCTCGTTATTTATTGAAAATGTCTTTGATGATTCAATCAATTTATTGCATGATTAGGATAAATTACAATTATTGTTTAAAAGTTAAGGATTTTTTGACGCAAGGATTTCACTTTGCATTTTTGTAAGAAACCTTCTTCTAATAAAAATGGTATTAATTTTCATAATGTGCTTAAAAGATTAATGGATAATTATTATTTATCCAATTTTATAAATATGTACCGAGTGGTAGTGTAATAAAGTAATCCGTCAGTCTCAACTATAAAATTATCTGATAAATCAACCCTACCATAAGAAATTTGATGTTCTAGTTTTTCAATGATTTCATTGATCGAATTAAGAAAGAAACAACTCGCAGTTTGTTTCATAGCTCTAATCATAACGGTAATATTAAGAATTCCAATCTTCTAAGGTTAATCTTAACCTTGTTCCGAGTTGGTTGTGCAAATTGGTTTGTAATCTAATTTTATTGAGATGAATTCATTTTATCTTTCAACTAAACAATTGTTTGTAAAATTACATTGTGCACCCTTATTTTCACGTCAAAAGTTCTTGTTATGAAATGAAACCAATATTAACTTACCATGGTATCTTAGAGCTTTGTCATTCATTCCAATATCAGCATATTGCAAATAATACTATGTGCAATTCTGAGAACTATATTTAATTAACCAAGATCAACTCAAAAGATGCAGAGCAGTTTAAAAATTCTTAAAAAAAACTATGCAATAAATATATTTAAAAATATTGAGTTTATAATATACAGATTGATACAGACTTATTGAAAATTAATTCTTCTAAATATTTTCTAAAAACACCGAAATCATCTAAACTTTAGATATGGAATAATATAACCAATGGGGTTATGAGTATCTCGACCGTTTAAGGTCCAAAGTGGATAATGTTTGAGACCCTATAAAAAATTGTACATCAATACAATTGTAAAAATAAAATAAAAACAATGGCGTTGAATAATAAAGTACATGCAACGTTTTTGTAATAATTTCATTATAGAATTAAGAATAAAAACAAAATACAAAAAAAATCTTTTTCGTGGATTCAACCTCTGACCCTGACCAGACTCCCTCATTGATTATAATTTGAAAAATTGTCGTTGTATTTTCTTGAGTAATATGTTGGCCTGTTTTGTAGTAATTAGGTATTCATTTTTATTATTTAATTAGTTTTTATTGACTTTTGAAACAATCGACTTATTTGTCTCACAATACTACGTAACATTTCATTACTAAATATAATAATGTTATTGCAATACGTATTGCGTAAAAGATTATTTTATTTTCTAAAATTTGATGTAAATAAATCTGTTTTTCCAATATTTCTAACTTATCTTAATTCCATTTATATATTTATGGAATTTACCATTACTCGATAGGGAGTCCCTTTTTTTTTTTTTAAAGAAATCTATCAAGATTTCCACATCTCTTTCCGTATCCTATAACATTTCCATGCATGTTGAGATTCTTCCTTGTGACTGGATAGTGTATACAGTCCACGAGTATGTGGTTCACTGTTCTAGGGGTATCTGACGCAGGTAGGTGGTTTTCGACCGTGGGGTAGGTAGTCATGCGAAAATTAGCAGTGACCAATTCTAAGGCGGCACAGAATTATTTCCACTCTTCTTGCTTTTCTGGTACTCGTTCACTGTACCATTTAGCACCATTTGGTTTTATCTGAACTAGTTCTCCATTCCTCTCGCGTAACATAATCAATGGATTTTATGTCATTTACATCCGTCTGAGCCGTTCGGGATGCAATCTCTGCTTGTTTATTTCTCTGTACATCACGATGGAACAGAGCCCAAATAAAAGCTGTTACATATTATTTCCTTTTTTTGTCCTAAATAAGTTCTAAAATTTAGCCTTTCGTGTTTAGATGTTTTTTTACTGATTGCCAGTAGCTCACTCATTAAATCAGCAACAATGACAGTTTTTTTTGTAATTCGCTGCTTGACAATACAGTTCTATTAGTTTTATTTATATATATTTTTTCATATTTCTTTATTAACCCACAGTGGCGTAAATACGTCAACCTGCGCCCGATTCAAGATAACCAACGTTTGTTCACTTTCCCCACAAGTTCATATGTTCTACTCCCAGTTTTCCTTTCCTATTTTGCTTTTCACTCACACTTGGAACATTCACAAAACTATTTCTTTATTGTTAACACATGATTTCATATATGTATATGATAAATATAAAATAATAAATTGTAATTTGGCACGCACATGTAAGCAGCCCATTCGACAACCTCTCCAGTTACAACTCTCCCAAGTTGTTCATAAAACAGTAGTAATGTTAGTAGTAAACACCATTATGATTTTATTCCAAAAATTACCAATTTAATATTATGGCAGATGGCTGGTACGAAAAAAAAATATTCATTTGATCAATTTTATTATTATAATTGTTTTCTCCTTTTCAATGAAGATTTTATCAAAATTTTATATAAGTTATCAAGAGCATCTCAGTAAAAATTATACAAGGTGATAATAAGGTCATTTGCATTATATGTTATGTGAGATATTGGCCAGCTCAGAAACCCGCTTGAAAGTTTTTCGAAATTAAAAACTGCGAAGATTATTCCAATCGTTCAAAGACTCTTCAACAGACTTATGGGTAATAAGATATAACAAGGTGTGTAAGATATAACGAGCGCAAACAGCAGTAACAAGAGTTCGTAGACACCGAAACCTGGCAGGACATATTGCCGGGAATCCCAAGGAAAATTACATTGACTAATATCCACGAGAGGCCAACAGAGGCTTCAGTCAATGAACAGCCATCCAATTGTTGACCGGTTGCTGATCTCTCGTGAATGAACAACGTTTAGAAAATTCATAAAGAGGCCACCCGAGCCAGGTAATCTAAGAGATAACTTAGTGAGAGTGGATGTAATTCTTGCACATTCAGTCTCTACGTAAACTGAAATATTACACTTTTCAAACTTATGTAATTTATTTAACTCATTGAATTTGAAAAGTGCATAATATAGACTTTTAGCTCGGGCTGAATTTAAATTCTGTATCATTATAGATGGCTGAGGTAGATTATATGAGTCACGATTAAATTACTAATCAATTAAATACCAGCTTCTTTACATTGACTGTGAGTGCCCAGTTATTGAGTTTCCATTATAGATGAGTGAGTATATTGATTGGTTATAATACATAATTCATGCCCGTCTCATTTTCGGTTTTCTTCACTTGGTTTATTAATTTTTTAAAGTTTCAGGTCTTGTTAGATAAAAAATAAGTGAAATCTTCAGTAAAAGGAGATTTGTTAATTAGAATTTATAACTATTATAAATACATACGACTCTCTAAAAGAAAAATTAATATATATCATTAACTTAATTTCATTTTCAAAATGAACGACTTAATCACTGATTGTTGCAGACCGCCGACGAGTACAAGGAGGAATACGATTCCCGCCGCGGGAGCGAGTACTCGAGGTTCCACGGCTACACCTACGACGGAGTCTGGGCCGTGGCGCTGGCCATCCAGCACGTTGCCCATCGCATCCGCAACATCCGTAAGAACCAGACCGTCTCCGACTTCCAGTACAGGGACCCCCTCTGGGAGCGCCTCTTCATCGAGGCTCTCAACCTCACCAGCTTTGAAGGGGTTACGGTAAGTCTACTTATTGGAACTTAGTTACTAAATTAATTAATAAGCTAACTTGTATGGAATAAGTAAAATGCATGAAATACACGCCTATTCTGAAGATCACATCAGAAAAGATGACAAAAAGGTCATAAGATTGCTTCTAAAATTCAAACAAAAAGGTGTTTTTGACTGTCATTTCTGTTCTGGTCAGCTCGTAGATAAAATAACGATGAAACCTCTTTCATATAAAAAAATTTGGAAACTACGTTGAAAAGATGCACAATTTTTTATGTTCATATCTGTTTCTGAGCGAATTCAACCTACACCCCAATGCACCTTTGCTTTATATTGCTACGCAGGGAGTAGGAGGGCAAGGTGGTTTCTACTAAAACAGTTTTCAATTGTTTGTTACAAAATTATTATTTCTGTATACTGTTTGTGTAATGGGGGAAACTGATGATAGCGTTACTTCTTTGTATTTGGCCTTCTTTTCTAATTTCATAGTAATAATATAAAGTTACAATACTGTCCTTCGCTCCCCAATATTTCCAAAAAGCTTATGCTTACTATGATACATACTGGACAATTTTTACACTAATCCACAACGTTCGTTTAGAGTTGAAGAATGTCAGTAGATATAATTTTGAAATAAAGGAATGTCAAGAAAAATACAATTGCGAATGAGATGAATCCATCTAACGAAATAATAATTTTATATGGAACCTTCAGCGTACCAACCCGCAGAATCCACGATATTGTCATCGAAGTTGGATCAATGGTATGTACGTTGTAGAGATTTGATTATGAAATTCGGATCAATATTTAAGAGAAGAATGTTGTTGCTTGATGACTAAAATTCGGACGAGTGTGAGAATTTTCATTCTTGAAAGACAAATTCTTTTTTTACTCTTTGAATCAATGCAAATCTATTCTAGTGAAGAACCAAAATTTAATTAATTAAATTACAGAAACATAAATTATGAAATAAATAAGCTTGATATTAATATATTAACAAAATGTAATAAAATACATTAAATACAAACTGTCCTTCAGTAGTTGTTATTTGAAATGATTGTTGGTAACTTTATCCTGCGAAAACTGAGTTGTCAAAAATATTAAACAGCTGTTACCTGAGGCCAATTTTTTTATGAGTTCAGTACTTTTTCTCTTATTTTTAATGAAGGTATTAGTAGCCTTGGGGGTTGAAGTAGTTAACATTGTCGCTTTACAACGATCTATTATCAATACAGCACAAGATGTCCTCTTCGGGCTGTCTTTGGCAATATCAGGAATAATCATTGCCTACTCACAGCCGGACTCGAACCCTCTGCGGTATGAATGCAGCGTGTTACTCACTGAGCTCCAAACTAGTCAAGAAGTTCGATAATCGGTTATAGATACGTTATTGTGATAAAATGTATTGGCACCCATCGAACATCTATATTGTTGCACAATAAATATTGTAACTTTAATTAATCATAATTGCCAAGCAATAAAGTTTTGATTCTCAACATATTCCATTGGTTCCTGGATTTTATTTATTGAATATTTAATTTTCCGGAATTGTGACTTTTACTGAATTATTATTCTTAATGAACTTCTTATCTTATTCGTCTGAAAATTCTTGATATCATCGATATTAACGCTAACTATCGAATATGAAAATCACCCCTCTAATATCATTATCAATTTAGTCCAAATAACGAGGTAGTTATAATTTCCACTCTAATATGTGATTTTATGAACATTGAATATTTTTTATTAGTGGCTTAAAATCATTTAATTAAAATTATAATCGTTAAAGTGCAGGATTGAAAATTTTTTATACTTTTATATTTATATATCGAATACTTTATGATAGTTAGCATTTGTATCGACGAAATACATAATGTTTAATGGTTGATATAAGGTTCTAGTAACAAATAGCTAGTAAAACAATTGAGTGTTTGTGTGTTTTTAGCTGATAAGTACTACCAACAATGTTTAAAGAATGTATTAATATTTTAGATAACAGAAATGCAGTGCTTTCCAAACATTCCGGCGCTCACTGCCTAGTGAAAAAACCATTCATCATGGCCTTCCACAATCTCCACAACAATTAGAAATAAATAGAAATGACGAATGGTAGACCTCCTTCTCTCTCCCATGTTATATAACTCTCTAGTCTGAAAATAATAATACCATACCTCATGCTTTTCCAAATATATATCTCATTTTATAACTAATATATATTTTATAATTTTCATTTTCTTAAACTTGTCAAAACGTAATAGTAGTTGCATTGATCGGCGCGAGAGAGAAGAGCGTAAAGTGGTATACCTTTCTATCTTGATTTTAGCATAGTTTTTAAGGTAGTAGATCCTTCATCCAGCTTCTTTGAGCGTTTTCGGACATATTAAATGTTGCCATATTTTGTTTGAGTGTATTATTATGCCCATGTAAATTATCTTGAAATCTTTTGCAGTATATCTGTATGTGGTCGTTAACTGTTTTTTTGTGAAGGTCTTTATGTAAAGTAATGTTTATGGAACTTTAGCTTTAGTCCTGAACGTTTTTGACTTTAAAGTTTTCGTATGTGGGTTATTTTGGCTGTTCTGTATATCTGTGAATGTCCATAGAGGCTTAAGTAGATAAATAGATAAATGTATGAGTTCAATTTCTGTTTTAGGTTTTATTTTTAATCTTGAAGGACATAAGTATAATAGCCGTAGTTTGAGGCTTAAGGTTCCTACACGCAGAACGCTATATGTCCCAGCGATGCTATACCCTTTGTATCGCCGCAGATTATCGCGCATTGTTTGACTACTATAACGCGATAGATAATACACTCTGTATGTAAGAGCCTTTAACGTTTTTCATTTATTTGATATATGGGCCCTATGTCATTCATCTGTCAAACGTCATTTCAAGATGTACTTTATCTGTTCGAGGAATTTGAGCATTGTCAAAGTAAATAGAAGGGAAAGTTTCATGTCACAGAGTAAAAGTAATGTGTTGGAATTTGTCTTGGTTGAGTCGAATTTTCCTAAGTTTTCACGTTTTTTAGTTCTGTTAGATGATTTAAGGTCCGTGGGGCATGTGTAGGATTTTTAGGTCTTGTTCACGATTCAGGTTCATATGAATATGTCATTATTCAAAACATGCAATAAGCCTTCGATTTTTTTTACACTAAAATCATAAAATCTGTGATAACTTTGAAATGGCTCCGCTTATTCACACGAAAATTAGTATGCATTTAGAGCTCTATAATATACACGAAATGACATAAACCAGACACCCATAAATAAATTAGACTTGAACAAAAAAAAGTTTTGTTTATTTATTTATGTATTCCTTAAAAGTGCTTAAAATCTGAATTCTATAAATGAATTGAGTATGGAGAAATTCCTCAAAGGCTAAGAATATTTTAGTAAATAGTACAAAAAAAATCCTCCAAAAAAGTACAAAAATTATATTTTTTTCAATTCAAAACAAAATTAATCGTATTTAATAATATATTATAATCCGTTTAATATAATTGGCAATTTTGTTTCTTTATTTTACACTAAAAAAAAATCGATATATAATAACTTAGAAATCCTTAGAAATAGTAAAGTCAGAAAACATAAATAAAATTGCATATATATATAAATAAAAACAGATATAAAAGATAATAAAATGCTATCAAAATATTTTGTCTCGGTTCCTAGGGCGCATTAGCAAGAACCCTCGAACATGACTAAATATTTTACAACCTAGAATCACCAAAAAATGTTTCATTGAAATCGGTGAACCCCAAATCCGTAACCTCCCTTCTTAGTAAAATTAATATATTAAATATGTGAATATAAAAGTGACTGTGTATATATAATTTTATTTTTAAAATATATGTTTTGTTTTTTTCTTTGAATAAAATATATATATACGTACTTATTAAGTTAGAGGGACATAATATCCTCAATGTATAACAAATTGTATTGTATTGCCAAGGTAAGAATTGTCACTGCAATCTTGCAATCAGACATTTTGAGACCTTGGTTTGACTTATTTTATTTAGGTATTTATTTTTTAATTGCATCAGGTATTCAAACTCAACTGAACACTTGTCATTTGATGCAAGAAGTAAGATTTATTCCGTCAGCAAAACTTTTACAATTTTTTTTTTTAATTTACTTTGAACTGAGGATTCAGGAATATGGACAGGACATTTAAAACAGTTTCTCTTAAAGGGTAATATTAGTTGTCTTGATTTCGTTTATTCAGCAATGCATCGGGTACTTCCTTGAGAAAGCGATGTCATCGGCGTCGAGAGCCACATTGGCATGTTTTGAATAATAGCGCTTATGAATTTTTGTCGTTAATAACGCCGTTTATGATTATTAAGAACAGTAACCTATTCCATTATTTGCACGCAGGGTCTTTGTTGGATCTTTTCTTGATTGGATTTTTTCTTTGGTTCAGATACTGTGTAAGAAAGTACTGTTCTGGTTAGAGGTGATAATGGTTCTGCGTAGAGGTGATCGGGCTAACGATTTCCCTCCTTAATTAATTATTTAATTAAGACTATCCACATTTATGGAGGCCCCCAGGAGAGTCTCCTCATATGTGTGGTAGAAAGGGTGCTAGCCCACAATGGAGCAGAGCTTTGGATCAATTCGTGGAATAATCTTCAAAGCTTTGGTAGAATTAAATGAATGAATGGTTTAGTATTTGAGCGTGTTCCAGGTAGCTCGACTATTGACTCTGAGCTTTAGATCCAACAGCTCGTTAGAGTAAATCAGCTTTGGAAGGATGTTTGCATCCTGCTTTGATCGACCGTTACGCAGAATATACTATTTGAAAAATAATGAGTTTTTCTGATCCTTTTTTAAACGGGATGTACTGTGCCTAGTATCATCCTGATTTCAGCCCTATCAATGCAACTTTGCTAGTCGACGAACAGTTTTTGAAGTGACCGTACTTTAAATATGTTGATGGAAGATTTCTACTGGAAAACGAAGAACTTCGAATTTATTTCCCTGATTCAGTTATATAATGAAGTTCAAGAAAAACATTTTAATATGATATTTCTGAAATTTACATAACCACGGAGTTGTGGTATTCAACGATAATGAGCTGTATACGAAGCAATTAACTGTAAACCCTCAATTTACTAATTACTATGTGTCAATTTGAGCTGCCAATTAACCTTGCATGAGTCTTGTATACGCTATTAATGAGCAAATAGTTGAAACTGGAGTAATTAGTATGAAAATGTTACCAAGATTAGTTTAAATGTAAAATCATTAGTAAATGTATCGAAATATGTATTATTAATAAATCTGAATTCGGATCAATAACTTATTTAAAAAAAAGAAAAGATATAGTGGTTCAAGAGGATATCATCGATTTTTTGAAAAAAGTCACAAAGTGTATTTTTGATATAGATTAACTTTCAAATATTTTCCTTTTTTATTTCGGCTATATTGATCAATAAAAAAAAGTGTAAGTTCATTGAAATGACACAAACCCTTTTATTTATCAAATATAGTTCAAACAAGCGCGCTATTTTCATATAGAGAAAATTCTTAATTACTTAAGGTTATGAAATATCACTTTATGACTTTTTTCAATAAACCAAAGACATGTTTTTATTAACTTTATCGCAGAAATTAGACAAAAACCATGGACAAATAAGCTTTATATTATTTTACTAAGACTTCTAGATAAGAATAGTAATATGTAAGGTGATGTCAGATAAACTCAACTTTTCCTAATGTTGAGGTGACTGTTCGTTACCATAAATATTATCCAAATTTCCTGCAACTTTGGGTCAAATAGAATGGGTCGTTTTTTCAGGACATAGCCGTATCGAGAAAAACACGTTTACAACACTGTATGAATTTGATAAAATTGATAATGGATCATTTTTTCATTAATTCCTGACTTCAATGATATAGAATATCCTCTCTTTCTCTGGCGCAGAGAAGTGTTTCGTACTCCCATACCATCTATCAATGTTACCCTTTCTCAGGGCTAACCATCGAAAAATTAATTTATTATCGAAAACTCTATACTTCATCTAGAATATTGAGAAAATATATGGTACTGAGCACAGGCAGATCGAAGGGAGGAGGAGGAGAAAGCTTTCGGATTGAAGCCCTCCCCCTCCCAAAAAAAAGGTAAAATATAATCATTAAAAAAAATATATATATTAAAAACTATATCTTAAAGTATTATTGTTCGTGTAATTACATTTAATAGGACTTCAAGAATCACATAAACACTATTTCATACAGGTACTTAATTTTTTTTTCAAATTAATTATAGTTTTATATAAATGAAAAAAAAAACTTTCGGGCTGAAGCCCACCCGCCCAACAAAACAAAAACAAATTAAATCCTGGATCCGCTAGTGGTCCTGAGTGGCGGTCATAAAACAAAATAGTGGAAACTATTTTAAGTGTTTTTTTTTTATGATCACCGCAGACAATCTCCTTTCTTAATTTATTTTTCATTAATATATCACTACTGTACATTTAAAAATAAATTTATATATTTGTAGTTTTTTGCATTCCTACCAACACTTAAATTTATTTTTGAATTTTACATTCATTTAACATCATTTTTACACAACATAAACGTCTACGTTCATGAGGTCCCTTCGATAAAGGAACTGTTAATGAAGTATTTTACCTCTTGAAACTTTTAGTTTACCATATTTTCTCCTCATTTTCTTTCTATCATACCTGTCTTTTCTGACTTCGGTATAAAACTCGCAATGTTTCCAGCCTGCCGTTTTTCTTCAATGGTTTGCCATATTTCTTTGATAAATTATATTATTTGTATTTTACCTGGCGACTGTGGCTTGATCAGTTTTGGCTAGACATGCGTTCATTTTTATTTTTTTTAACTCAGCGGCCTTTTCTTTCTATAAGCTAATTCTTGGTCTTTCTATAATACCTTCGAAGTTGATTAATCGAAAAAGATCAAATTCATTCTTGAGCTCAATTTTGAATTAAGTTGCGTATACCTCTTCCTTTCCACTATTTTATTTATTTCTTTAAGCTTCTGATATTTTGATTCTAGTCACAGCTTGGTCCGAATCATAGTTAGCTCCACGATATCTTCTTATATCTTGCGTGGGGCTTTAATGTCTGTTATACACCAGCCTATCTGGTTTTTCGTACCTTTAGGACTTATCCAAGTAACCACTGGTGGATGATATACCTTTATTATATATATATAATTGAGAACTTAAAAAAAGAATTATGTGTTTTTTAGAGAATTTTTTGTATAGATCTTATTACACAAATGGTCAGAGCATGCATATGTGTTTTTATTTTGATATTGTAGAGACCGATAAATCATAAATATTTTGTGCTTTTAGCATTATTTATTGTTTACTGAAAAAAAAAATTAAAATGAAGCTTTGTAAAGGATCACTTCCGCCATGTTTAATGTACAGAACAGTGGCGGATCCAGGAATTTTCTGACGGATGGAAGGATGAGGAGAGCTTTTTTGTACCAGGCCTATATAGTAAATGATCGTAAATTCTTAGTAAATAAATCAGGAAAATAATAACAGATTGATGATTAAATAATACTAATTAATCCTTAATTTATAAAATCCACTTAGAAAATAAAACAACATCCCTGATTAACGTATATTGTGTATACTTAACTACTACTACTCACGGTATGGTCGCATAAGTTGCCTTCAGTAGTCTGATGGTCTTACTGCAAAATGGGCTTACTGCGGGCGAAAGGTCGCCCGTCTTCCCCTAATATTAACATCCTAATTAAAATAAGACTAACCTGATAGAAGCTATAAATTACAATCACATTGTTTAAACAATTGTTTTTTTAATTAAATACTAATAATAGCGCTATAGTAATAATAATAGCGCATTTTTCGTAGTAACAGTTTTCAAGAAAAAAAAAGATAGTCCCCTGTCCCAGAGGAGTGAGAGAGAGGCTTCACGCTCACTTGCTTGATCTATTAGAGCTACAAAAATATATAATAAATTCAATTGCTTTGTTTTCATATTTTCAGATATATCCATATGCAAAAAGTTACAAATATTTAGATTTATTTTTAAATTTACAGTAGTATATCATTCATTTTACAATGATTATGTTTATAAATACCAGTATTTTTTTTTTCATTTCATCCCTCCCTTCCAAATAACAATGGAAAGTCTGCGCGCCTATACCAACACATGAGGCCTATTTTCTTGTGATTTCATGATCACTTACACAAAAAAAGGAGAAATAGTTACGGTTGGGATGCGAAACAATGTAAAATGGCTAAAATGATCTTTAGGATAAACAAACATGAATACAGCGCTTTTCCATCCTTGAAATGTAATCAATCTTATAATCTTATAACGATTATCAGCATGTTTCAGTATATATTGAGAATGATAAGGAATCTGTTTTTCGTTTTTCCTCTTTGTAAGGTAAAATCCTTAGAAAACTTTCTAGAAATAAAAATAAAGAATATTTTTTCTATAATTGTCTCCATTGTTCACAGGGTCCTGTAAGATTCTACGACAATGAAAGGAAAGCAAGTATACTCCTGAAGCAGTTTCAAAGTAAGCAACTGACAGTTACAGTTTTATTTATTTTATCTGGATCTTTTAAAATAAATTGTTGAGATATATTAAGCCGATGTGAGAGCGCAATAAGAAAAATTAATAGCCCATAAAGATGTGGTGATGATAGGATTTGAAGATAATGGCTTCCAGGGAACAATGCTTCCACTGGCCGGCTAGTGGGCTTATAGTTGTCAGTAATTCAAATACGATTTATGTCTATGCTAAATTAATATATTACGTAATTTTAAATGGAATAACAAACAAAATTAAACTATTGTCTCTCTAAATATGCAGCCAAACCCATTCAACAAAATATTTTTCATTTGTACAAAATATCACGTAAAAATTAAAGACTGGTTTTACAATGAAGTTCTACGGAGTGGGTCAGGACCGAATCTAGAGGGAAGGACAAATGGGACACTTTCTTCGGGCGGTAGATTTTAATCGATGCAATATTTCAAACGAATGTTTTTGTTTTGCTTTTAAAATATATTTGTATCTTTTTTTTCTGGTTGTTCATACCTTAATTTAGTCAATAAACTGAGTTAATATTATGAGATGAATGAAATATGATTGGTATTACCTAAAATATTGACTTTTATCGGGATTGTGAATGAAGGGGCGGAAAAATTAAGCTTGCGCCTCATAGAAAAAAAAAATACTAGTTCCAGCCCTGCCGGATGTACGACTAAAAATTAAAAATAAACATCCATTTAGTGGGGAAAAATCCAGCTATATAAATGTAATCGATAATCCATCTATAGTGATTCATTGTAAAAATATTACTCCCCAAAAAAATTGAACATCAAAATATACCAAAACTGACGAAAGCCTATTATTCAATCCAATGAAGACTGTCTCTTATATTTATAAAGATACGAGAGATAAAGCTCGGTCAATTATACAGGACCTTTATAGATATAATTTCATAAGTGTGGGTGACTTGTTAAAAATGCTAGACGAAGAGTATCCATCCTCATTTTTCCTACTTTTTTTTCCAGAATTCCACAGTAAAAAAACACATTTCATAACTTTTCTCTAGGATCGACCGTTAATCCGCTAAAAAGCGCTGTACAAAAAGGTACGAGATCCTCAAAAGTGGCGCGGTTTGTGACCGGCAATTTCCAAGACAACTACGCCTCTTTTGATCATACAAGTTACTAAACTTCATAAAATACACAAATTTACATGAAAAGCACATTTTTATTCAGAATATCGTAACAAATATTACTCTTAAACAGAAATGACTGAAAGAAAGGACCAGCAAATTGATCTTCTTTACTTCTTCCTTTGGTATGGAAAACCACCACAAACCCTTGAAAATCTATAGTTTTTATACACATCAACAACCAAAACTTGCTTTTTTGTTGAGGTGAAACTCTTTTTTAAAAAATTGGCTCTCCTAAAGTTACTGCCACTGCACCCTTTCTGCTACCTAGACTTATTTTTATATTGACTAGAGCACTGTAAACGTGATGAAGAGAATGCATGAGCTTTCATATTTGAGATTTCCATACACACTGTCATTCTACCATGTTTAGCTCAAAACCTTATTTTTAGAAATACAACGATAGATCGATCATGATTATCGCAGTTTATCAACGTTATGGAACCAAAAGGGTTTGTCAGGCTTTTCCATTCCAAAGGGAAAGATCATAGGTTGCAACTAACTGGGTAGACAAGATACCTTCCCTCTTTCCACTAGCCACTCAAATTTTATGTAGGGAGGCGATTTCATAAACTTTTTTTTCTCAATATTTTACAGTGATTTACTTGAAAAATAACTCACAACAGAGTTTAATAAGCCACATAAGTAATAATTATATTATATCGCAAGTAATAAACTGATGACTGGGCTATTTTGTGTATGACTTTCTAACCTTCTCTCTCCTCAATATTTTCTAAGTGCAGGCGTTAGTGGGAGAGATTAAGAAGATAATTTTCCTGTGCCTCTCTCGCACTCATTTCACCATAATAGCGTTATATATTCCGATATATTAAATAGAAATATAATGCTACTGTATTTTTGTTGTATTATAGAGTATAATTTCATGTATTGTCAACAGAGGAATAACATCATATTTGATATAGAAATTGTAAATAAAAAGCTATAAACGGAGTTTATCCTTCTTTTGGGAATCTGGCCCCTTGCACAGTAGGTTCTAGTGGCTTGAGGGCATATCCCTGAGAAAAACTGTTGTACATAACATGCAGGCAATTTTATTAATTGTAATTAGGTACATAGTAGTCTTTACAAAAAATGAAAATAGCATCAAATTTTTGACATATTTTACTAATAAAATATCTGTCTGCACCTTTTACTCTTTTTCAGCAAAACAAAAAACTGGAGTATATCAAAATTTTGGATAAAAAAACTTTCCCGAACATGCTCTTATTCTTGTTTGACTGGACTAATTAATATTTTTAAAAACTGAAAAGTCATTAACTCCAAAAAATCAAATTTTCTTTGGTTTGGTCCCCGATATTCCAATCATTCTAAAATATGATTAAATACCAACATAGAAAATACATAAATCTGCCTTAGATTATTCATATAAGCATTGATGACCTTAATCTACATAATTTTAATTTATTATTAAAATTTGAATGATTTATCACTTTATTAATTCTACACTTTTTAACAAACATTGCAGATGGAACTGAAGTAAAGGTTGGAGAATATAATGGCGTATCAGAGGAGCTTGACCTCAACAGGGGTCGAGGAATCAGGTTTGTATCAGTAATTTTTGAAAAATATTTCCAAACCTACATAAATGGTGGCGAATTCAGATAAAAATTATCTTCATTTTTTAAATTTTCACCTTTTAAATTTGTATTTATTGAGGATATTTTGCAAACAATGGATTATTATATAATCAGACATAACTTACTGAAATATACCTCAGTTATTTTTTTAATCATAGTACATTTGACTTTTCTATACTATTTTCACTACTTCAACAGGTTCTCAAATTTACAACTGAACTAATCTCAGATTTACTGTACTAATATCCTCACCATCTTTGGTATTTAATAAATTTTATTTATTTTTTTTTTTTTTTCATTTTAATTTAATACCTAGATTCAATATTACTTCCACTAAAGCCATTTATACTTAAATTGTGAAAATTAAAATTGTTTAAGTTTTCTTTTTTTAACAGTAATTTTGATCGACATTTATTTTTTGTTTTATTATGTTAAATAAAGCTCTTTGTCTATTTATATTTTAGATGGGGAGATGGGCGAGGTCCACCAAAAGATAGAACCCATCAAATTTTAGAACAATCCCATGTTAATGTGGCAATATATACATCACTAGCTGTAGCTGCTTCTTTTGGAATTGTTCTTGCTTCTGTATTTCTGGCTATAAATATTAAATATAGAAATCAGAGGTGAGAAGTGTTCTTCAGTAAATATTCAACATTTATATTATCTTTTCATCAACCAATTTTTACTCAGTTTCCTATGGCTTATTCAAATGTTTATCTTTATTTCATTTCATTTGATTAATTAAATTATTAATTTTTTTAAAATAAAAGTTTGATAAAACTGAAATATATTAATTACATAAAAGAAGACAATTAATTATTGTAACAAATATATTCTTGGCAAACTGCAACACAATGAAAATCAGTGTTGAAGTTCTCTTGGATAATAGAAGCTCTTATACATCAAATCTAAGAATCTTATTCTCCTATTTAAGAGGTTGGATGTTAAATACAACTTCTTATGTGTGCAATGAATAACTAAGAATTAATTTTTGTTTAAAATTACCGTCTATACTTTTGATTCTCAATGATTTGTTCCAATTCGAAAAATGTCTTTAAATACATACAAACCACTGCAAATATTGGATAATGGAAGATGGAAGATCTTGTTTTTATAGATGTCATTTATGCAATTGCATTCATTGGCAATAAAAAGACTTATAGGCATCATTTCAAAAGGATAACTATTTGACACCTGATATGTGACAGTAAAGTGATGATGATGAAACAATATGTGAAATATCTCAAAGGAAATTTAAATTGTCGTGTATAATCAATTTTACTTTCGGTGTACATCTCATGAATAAACCTACCGGAATTTCATCATTGCTGTGCTAACGTAATGGTGATGCTTATCTTACCGAAGATCTGAGGTCTGGATATAATGCAATTGACAAACATGCAAGAAAAGACAACAAAACATTGATAAACCATGTGCAGTTTTAAAAATTAATATCACCATAAAATATACAAGAAAAGCAGAAGTAGAAAAGTATGTGATATTCGTAATTTATATAAGATCGAAATATTTACAAACTATGTATTTTAGGAATTAATGATCTTAGTGTTTGGAATGCTTTGAAAATAAACTGCTGAATAATTTCAATTGTTGGGCAGTTTAGGTTAATTCTGAAATATTAATGATAGTCAAAACAATGAATACTACTGAATTTTGCTCCTCCTTCACTGGATTTTGGTGGAGTTAAAGACTCATGTTCACCAAATTCATTTCAAAAGCAAATCAGATATGATCAATTTTAATTATCATTTGAAGTTGTTTTTATTTATTTTTTTTATCTATACCATATTTGTATAAAGAGTATCTATTTTTTTTTTTTTTTTAGATACATTAAAATGTCAAGCCCCTATCTCAATAATCTTATAATTATTGGAAGTATGCTGACTTATTCTTCAGTTATATTCCTCGGCCTTGACTCCAGGCTGACTTCCATTACAGCTTTTCCTTACATTTGTACTGCAAGAGCCTGGCTGCTGATGGCAGGATTTTCATTGGCATTCGGTGCCATGTTTTCAAAGACTTGGAGGGTGCATTCAATTTTTACTGATGTTAAGCTCAATAAAAGGGTATATTTTTTTTAAATATCATAATTATTTTTATAAATATTTTTCCATATTAAAATAATTCAAATTTATACAGGTGATAAAAGACTATCAGCTCTACATGGTTGTAGGTGTTTTGTTAGTGATAGATCTTGGCATAATGACAACATGGCAGATCACTGATCCATTTTTTCGTTCTACTAAAAGAATGGAACCATATGTGAGTTTTAATTTAAAAGTTTTACTGTTAATACTGTATAACAATAAACTTAATAAGGTGACAATATGTTGGTGGCTAAAATTAAATCCAGTTTTGTCTGTAAAATAATAATTAAATCCCTGAAAAGCATATTTGAAAAGCCGCCATGTACCTCTGTATGAAATGCAAGTTTCAAACACTGTAAAGGCTGGCCAATATCTTGAGGATAACTTAAATAACAAATATCAAGTAAGGACCATCAGACAAATGGGGAATTGACTTATCAGTCATAACATTTATCCTACACCTTCTATTAATGTGGCCAATACCTGCACTTGATTCAAGGGCTTAAGGGCCAAGATGATGATAACCACGGTAATATATGTCCACGCTGAGGAGAAGTTTCATTGGTTGATGAACATGAAAAATTTCCTATGGTTCAAGGAATTCATTTTTGGAAGAGAAATAGAAAGACCTCCAGGTGATGAAAGCCTTTCTGACATGGAAATTTAAGAATTAATATTTTAATGAATTTTATACAGTTTTACTTACTGTTGAACGTTGTTATGCAGTCGTGCATACCACTTATAAAAACATCTGTACTGCCAAATAGGTAGTGGAGATTGAAAAAATAAACACAACATGTATTACAAATGTAAATTATAATATGACTTTTCAGGCTCAGGCATTAAGGGAATGTCAGAGAAGGAAGGAGTGGTCAGTTCATTTTTTTCTAATTCAGAGCAACATATATAGATTCTAGCCAGTCTGACGATCATAGAAATTTATTTCAAAAGTTCTGATTGACTTGAACCTTCTTTAAGCCATGTATGCTTCTATAATTTTTAAATATGAATCCATGAATACACCATTAAATATCCACAAGTTTTCAATTTGTGGTGTTAAATGAGAAGAAAATATCAAATCTAGCCTCTACCATAGCACTTAGCTTTACAAAATAATAATAACAAAACCTACTAGAATGACACTATAAAATAAAAACTTCACAAAGAAATAAATCGCAAGAAATAAAATAAAACATCATATTGTCACTTTCATTGTAGTTGTCTTTCACTATCTACTTTTGATACTATTATTAATTACCTGCAGTATTTGTATGATTATTCATTTTATTTTATTTTTAGCCACATCCCCATAGTGAAGATATTGTCATAATTCCAGAAAATGAATATTGTAGAAGTAATCATATGAATATTTTTGTCGGAATTATTTATGCCTATAAAGGATTACTAATGGTAGGCTAACTCATAAATACAGTTAGATATTAAAGGATTCATAAAAAATAAAAAACTCCAACATTTTCATATTTTTTTCAGATTTTTGGAGCTTTCCTAGCTTGGGAAACTAGGCATGTAAGCATCCCAGCATTAAACGACTCAAAATATGTTGGCATGTCAGTTTACAATGTTGTACTTATGTGTGTAATGGGAGCTGCTATCTCTTTTGTTTTGTCTGATGAGCAGAATGCTGCATTTGTATTAATATCTGTCTTTATACTGTTTTGTGCTACAATTACACTTTGCCTCGTATTTGTACCAAAGGTATTTTTATTTCCAATTGGTAATTTGCAATATATAAGTGGACATTGTTTTATTATGAATATTGTAATTTTATATGTTACTCTTATTTTTTACAGTTGGTAGAACTACGGCGTAATCCACAGGGTGTCATAGATAAACGCATACGTGCCACTCTAGGTCCTAGGTCGAAAACTCGCCGAGATTCATCTGAGCTAGAAGAACAATTAAGAGAAGCTAAATCGTCTAATCAAACATGGAGGAAGTTACTTCTTGAGCGTGATGCTGAACTTCAAGCCCTTTTGAGGCTCCTTGGGCAGCAAGAAGATAACACCAGGCAAATTGCACCTCCTCCTGCAGCAGAACTAACACAACTCAAACGTGAGCGTAAGTTGTCTATAAATTAGGTTAGCGGTCAAATAATATATTGTTTAATTTAAACTTCAAAATCCAGAAAGAAATCATTTGTTAGGAATTACATAAATATAAGTTATCTTCAGTCTCTTCCGTAAGTTATTAAGTTCATTTGAAAATCATTTTATTTTTAAAATATTATTTTTTCATGTTTTTTATTTGATCGTTATACAATTTTTTATTGATGAAAATAATGTTTTGTTTAATTGAAAAGAAGGCTAAAACTAATACAAACACGGATTTTTAAAAATTAAGAGTGACTGTCTACGAGGGGGGGCTTTCGGGATGAACCCCCCGAAAATGGTAAATAATACCATGTTTTACAGAAAAAATTATTAAAAACTATCTCTTAAAGTATTCTTGTTCGTTTAATTACACTTAATAGGACTTCAGGAACCACTTAAACACCATTTCATATAGGTAGTTAATTTCTTTCTTTTTTTTTTCAAATTATTTTTATGAAGATTTATGAAAAAAAAATCTTTCGGGCTGAAGCCCCCCAAAATTAAATCCTGGATCCGCTAGTGCTGTTAACCTATGTTAAGTTGATAATTTACTCATTCCAATTAATCTTTTATAAGTAATATCAAAAAAAGTGAAAAATAGACAGAGAGAGGATGAGGGGGAATTAGGCAGGAAAAAAAGCAATAGATATTTTAAATATGTTTGATAAGATTTTGTGTTATATTTCCTATATTGTCATTGTGTTCCTAATTGGAAATACCTATTATAGATTTCCTTTCTTTTTTTAAACAAATTTGAAAACACTAATAATTTCTATATTTTATAAGTAGAACTTATACATTTAGTATATGACAAACAGGAATCAACTACTAACATTTAAATTCATCAGTTTTTGGCTAAAGTTTTAAATCACACTAAATCTTGTCTGCTCTTGAAAAAATATTTATTTTTAGAATAACAAAGCTTGTTCTCTGCTGCATCAGCTTGGAATAATTTAAAACTACTGCCATCTATTGATATTTCCATCAAGCGAATTAGCTTATTTGGAATTTTGGAATCTCCTAGTGCACATATCATGTTATTTCTGTTCACACTATCGAAAGCACGGCGGTAGTCTATAAACAGCATGTGATGGTCAGTTTTATACTCCTAGCCCTTTTCCATTAACTGTCTCACTACAAAGATCTGATCCGCCGTTCCCCAGCCTCTGCGGAATCTGCATTGGTATTCCTGCAGAACATTCTTGGCAAACTCTTTTTATCTCTGAACCAATATGTTAGAGAATGTTTTGTACGCCACTCTTAAGAGCGATATTCCTCTGTAATTTTCACAGAGCAGCCTACCTCCCTTTTTATGTATAGGGTGGATTAAACTTGTTTTCCACTCTGCTGACATGCATTCTTTGTCCCATATATCCACAATTAGTAAGTATAATTGATTATTTAACTCCTCTCCACCTTTTTTAAACATTTCCATAATCAGATCGTCTTCTCCAGTAGCTTTGTCATTTTTTAATTTGTTAATTGATTCTACCACTTACTCGATTGAGAGCTATTCTAAATCAGACAAGTTTTCTAGCTTTGGTGTCTTGTCAGGGTCTGTGCTTCTTACATTCATAAAATCATTGAAATGTTCCTCCCATCTGTCAATTAACATTTTTTTTCTAATATTTTTCCGTTTTTATCTTTACATGCATTGACCTTAGGTTGGAATCCACGATTCATATATTCATATATCTGACGGCTCCATAGAATTTCCTCATTTCATTATTCACCCTCAGTTCTTCTATTCCTTCAATCTTCTTTGTTAAGAATTCCCTATTTTTCTTTCTAATAATCTGTTTGGCCTTTCTTCTGCTTTCATTATAGGAAGTATATCTTTGTCCGGTGGAGCGTTGAAGCACAGCTAATCTATGCTCATTTCTAACATTCAGGTCTGCAGCACACCCCCCATCGAACCATTCCTCACTTCTCCGCTCCCTCCTCTCTCCAATCACTTTATGTGCTTCAATAGCTTTTCTAATTTTATACCACCTCTCTTCGACTTCACCAATTCCAATTCCTTTCAAATTTTCTGTTAGCTTTTCACTTACATATTTTTTAAATTGCTCAGTGATATCTTCAAGTTTAAAGTTTTCCAAATCCCATTTGTATTCTTCCTATAATGCCGACTCCCAGACTTCACATATGCTAATCGCCCTCTAAACTTTACTTTGACTGAGAAGTGGTCTAAGTCACAATTAGATCCAGGGGCAGTCTTTACATCAATAATTGATGATGCATGCCTTCTATCTTTCAGTACGTGATCTATCTGGGTTACTGCACCATTGGGGGCTTTCCATATTCCCTTGTGTATAAAAAATGTACTTTTAATTAAAATATCTCTCACTTCAGCGAATCGGCAGAGATTGTTTCCGTTCTTATTTGTCTCAGTATGAATTCAGAATTTTCCTGCAATGGTCTGTGTAAAGCTCTCGGTTCCTATTTGTGCATTTAGTTCTCCTAAAATAATTTTATCATATTTTGGGGATGCATGATATACTCTTTCCAATTCTTGATAAAATCCCAATTTTACGTCTTCATCGACTTCCTCAGTTGGTACATATACTGAAATCAATGTCACGTTCCAAAATCTACCTTTCAATCTAAGTTTATAAATTCTCTCACTGATCGGTTCAAATAGTAGTAAACTCTTCCTTATTTTTTTTGTGATTAAGAATCCAGTACCAATTTTTCCACTTCTCTCGCTCGGTCCACTGTAAAATATTGAGAAATCCTTCTTGTCCACTCTGTCTGAGCCATTCCATCTTGTCTTCTGTAAGGCTACGGTGTCTATGTTAAACTTAATTATCTGCTCAGTCACTTCCGCCATTTTACCGGGCTGTAGCATCGTCCTCACATTCCAGGTTGGAATAGTCAATTCAAAATTCCTTTTCTGGTTCCGTTTCACTTTAATCCAATCCGGCTTATTGTTGTCTATGCTTTTCTGAACATTTATTTTTTTATAAAGTGGAGGCTCTTATAGTGTTAACTCCACACTCAACCTCCAATCTGAAGGACCAGGGCTTTGAATTCGGGGCTCCGTCCCCTAGCATGCTGGCTTTCACTACAGCTTACAGAGTCCATGCTACTCTTTCTTTAGAGTTTAGAGATTTCTTTAGAGTTTTCCCTCCTAGTCTTTAGGATACCCTCCCAAACCATACAAGGCAGTACGGTGCAGTATTTGAATATTAAAAAAATATCCTTAAAATCGGTTTTGTCTTCTGTTTTTTTCTTTCTTTAATTAGTAGTTGACTATTGACATAAAATATGCAGACTTTATCAAGCTATTAAAAAGCACATATTGTATGGTGTTATTTTATTTATTTGAATATGATTATTAATATAAAAAACTATTAATAAATGTAATAAAATATATAACCATTTATTATTTTGATTTCAGCTGCGACAGAGACCACAGAAATTAGTTCTGTGTGCTCCAATAACTCATCTCATGAGACAAAGGAGGAATATCAAGCAAATCAAATAGACACACCAGCTCAGAAGTAAGTATAATATTATACTATCTTTATTAATGACTAATATAGTTACCTAATTCTTTCAAAGTATACTGATTTTATAATATTTATTTTAATTCAAAGGTACTTGAGTCATTTACTATTTGATAAAATTTTAGAGATTCAAATTCCACACACAAAAAAAGTAAAGGGTGATCCTTCTTTATCACAATTTACTTTAAGAAAGGATTGTAATGTTAATGGCTAGAAATCCCTTCATAGATATCAGTATCAATGGTGGTGACTGATTAGGATTAAATTAAATCCATGAAGGTGATGGAAACAAACTGTTAATCAGGAAAATAAGTAGAAATACTCTAATTCAAGGAAATTACTCAGTTGAGCTAAAAATTATAAATCAGCATAAAATTTATAAAAGATGAAAAGTGTAGTATGGTTGGGAAGTCAGTTGGGAGTCGTAGTCAGTGTATAACAGAAATGAAAATTTTTATTTTGTTTTTTATTCATTTATGAAATTAAAAACTGTATTCAAGTAAAAATACATCTAGTAAATGAGAATAGAGATATATAATGACATGAAAAGACTTGGAGAGAAATTACCCATCGGTAGCACTCTAAAATAAACCTTAAAAAAAAAGTATTTTATTAGGTGATATTTCATCCTAAGTTTCATCATAAGGGTTGAGTAAAGGCAAGATAACATTTTTCTATTTTCCTCATATATCCAGAAGAATTTATAATTCATATTAAAGATAGTAAGATAATTAAAAGTTATAGGCTAAAAAAGGTGTCTTAAGAGTAAATAAATAGACATAGTAAAAGGCACAAAAAGCTATAATTTTTCCTCAAAATTTTCAAATCACTACATATTACCAATCCAATAAAATGGATCCTGCAAAATGTATTGCCCTGGGCTCCTAAGGGTTTAGATCCAACACTTATTAAATGAAATCTATTTTCACCACTTTTTGTGATGTGCAGGAAATGACGTGAGGAAAATAAAAATTTGAAGTTTTATTAGAATTAAAACTGACATACATCAGACAGCAAAAACAAAAATTGAACTATTGAAGCCCTGACAAAACAGTTATTTAGAATCATTTAATAACATAAATCAAATATACCTTCTTAAAAAAATAATCTTAAGTGCTACATAGAATCATAAATGATGAAAGACTAATAATGGCTATAAAACTAGATAATAAAATTAACTGGAGACATTAAACATGGATTTAGAAGTAAACCAGGTTATCTCCACTTTGATGATAACCTCCTACATTTTTCTAACCATGGTAAATAAATAAATAAAGCACAGAAAAGATATGGTGGACTTTTTCATAAAGTGGAAGGAAAATAGACCAAACCTATGAGGTAGAGGAAATATAATTTTTGTGTTGACAACAGATCCCGTTATTTATAATAAAACTTGATAGTTCTTATTACCAGAAACCTAGGCTGTAATGTGAAAAAAAAGAAACTTAACAATAGTATAAATAGAAAGTTAATTGGATGTAAAAGTTTGCAACTTGTATTCCGGGATACATGAGGAATTAGATTTTGCTTATTTGAATTTAAATTTAACTATGAAAATTAATAGATTACTAAGATAGAAATAAACTAGTATGCTTATTTAGTCAGATTGGTACATATTTATTAATTATACAATGAAAGTTCTCAGTTTCATAAAATCTTGGGCTAATTACTATAAATAAAACTTATAATAGACTCATTTGACTCGAAGCCAGAAAAATTCAGTTTAAGTAGTACATAAATAATTTTTTCGGCCATATAAAAAATTTAATTAAGTAAATATATTTACTTATACTATAACAAGTGTTTTAAGTACTTTCATAGTTTTTTATCCCATGCACCCAATACTTAATCCAAATGGACAATCTCTTTGTAGTTAGCTCCAAAACTTTCCCTTATTATCCAGTTGACCCAAATGAACTAAATTCCTTTTTTGCTGAAACTCTCCCTTCTGCATTTTCATCTAACCTCTCACTTTTTTCCATTGCTGAAACCCCATTTGATTCATCTAATTTTTATTTTCTTGATATTTCTCCTACTTACCTCTCTCTCTACCATTCTTAAATCCAAAATCAACGACTATGGTCCTGACCAAATACCTATTAAAATCTTCACACTCTCTCTTCTTGTCTTACTTCCTGTACTTTTACTCATATACAATTTCTCTTTCCGAAATTTCATTTTTCCCGAAGTCTAGAATAAAGTCTTCATTTGGCTACTGAACAAAGTCCCTGCTCCTTTATCAGCTTCCAACTTCAGACATTTCTCCATTTTATCCAATTTATCCCAACCACCAGAAAGATTAATCCACTCTCAGCTAAATAATTCTCTCAAGCAAAACTGTCTCAATCCTTTACAATCTAGTTTTAGTTCCCAATATTCCATCCAATCTGCCTTGTTGAAAATTACTCAAGACTTCCAATCCTACATAGATAAACTGAAAATCTCTATCCTAATCATTTTCGACTTTTCTAAAGACTTTCATTCTATAAATCACAACATCCTTCTTTCCAAATTTCAAAGTCCACCTATTTTTTTTTTTTTTTTTCCTATTCTTCCCTACCTCGCCTTTTAGGCTATACAGGATTTTCCTGGGCCGGAGGGTGAGGGGGGGGGGGAACTTTCCCTCTGGCACCGGGACGCAAACTCGTACTTTTTTTTTTCAATCTCAAAACTTGGTTATCTGGTTGCCAGGCAACTCGCAGTGCTGTACACACACGTTAGCCCATTCGACTGGCCACCCTGCCCCCCCAAAGCCATCCTATATCAAATAGTGTTCTAAAATGGTTTCTCTCCTTTTTATCTTATTGCTCCCAGATAGTTGTCATTCCAAATTCATTCAGTTAACACGAGATGTTTTTCAGGGTTCTTTACTCTCTCCGACTCTTTTCTCTATTTATATTAGCAGCCTTCCAGACTCCATTTATCAGGACCATTATCACTTATATGCCGATGGTTTCCAAATTTACCAATTTTCCAACCCTGGAAAATACTTGATGCTCCTCAAAAGCTACAAGAGTATATTGATTGCATCCAAAAATGGGGAGAAATAAATGAATTGAAGCTTAATGTAAACAAAACCAAGGCTATTCTCATTGGTTACAGACATAGTATTAACTCCCTTCCTTTCATTCCTCTAATTTACCTCAATAACCGCCCTTTCAATTTCCTCCCAACATTCAAAAATCTTGGTGTAATCTTTGATCAGAACCTCTCCTGAAATAACCATATTTTCCAGATTACCGGAGGGTCCATAACTATCCTTAAACAACTCAAAAAATTCCCTGATTATATTCCTAAAAAAAAACAGACAGCTCCTTGTAACCTCCCTAGTTTTCTTTCCTTGCCACTACCCACTTTGACAAGGATTGCTTGTTTAATGGAGGGCTGTATGCAATGCTGGAGACAAGACTGAAGAGGCTCATGAATTGCTTCATAAGATTCATCTTTGGAACAGACTACCATGTGTTCTCATTTCCTATTTCTCGACGATAATTCCTTCTTCTTGTTTTCCTTTTCCATTTTCTCAGAAATAAATATCCTTCCTATATACTACAATTCCTTACTCTATACCCCTCTATCCATTCACTTAATAACTATAGATCAATACATTCCATCCCATAAAACCACTTCCTTCAGCAAATCCTTCATTATTATTCCTTTTGGAACTCCTTACCTATCATCATACTTTGTTCTTTGTTCTTATCGTTGTTCACAAATTCCTTCAAACAACTCCTATTCCACTAACTACTTCATATTAAACCTTCCGCAACCATGTGAAAATTTTTAGATTTTGTAATTACAATTGCTTATTAATAGTTAATTGACAAGTACCATTTTATTTTATTTTTGTATATTTGTTTTATCGCAACGTGCCAGACTTATGTACATATTTCTTGATTTTTTCATTATTCTTAGTGGACTTTTGTCTCAGAATTAAATTATTTGTTATTCATTCAAAAGCTAAATATTATATATTGTAAGCTGGACTTATATTCCCACAGTCATAGTCATACAAATAAATAAATTAACTTTCATTTCATAAAAATCCATCATAAAGAGGCATGAAGATCTGTCTCGAAATAAAATTAAGCTAATTATTATTACTAATACTATAACAGAAGGACAACTAGTAAAATGAATTGTAATGTTATAATAATTCATTTTTATTATAATCTCAGCAGTTAATGAATAAAAAAAAAACTTTTTGTATCTAGAAATCAAATCCTTATACATAAGAATGAATTGAGTATTAAACTACTTAAAAAATAAAATAAATCACTGCTTTGTTGTTATAATCTAAATTTATTAATGTTTAAATTTTATATGCAAGCTCAGGTTATGAACAAACAAATTAATATGAATATATAATATCATAGGTATGAATTATTTCCTAGCAGAAAGAAGACAATCTTTTGCAATAATCAAACACCAGTCGCAGCTCTTGAAGAAATGAGTAGCGGTGGCAGCTTATCAGTAATATCTGAAGCTAAACAGGCTGCTAAATTAACTGGTCACTCACCTGCAAGTCAGGCTTCTAGTAAGGTACAGTTAACATTTTTTTTACTCATTTACTACTTTACGGATTTGTCGTCATTCAAAAGTATATCATAATATTAAATTTAAACTGAATGTTTAAATTTAAATATACTTCATTTGATTTTTATTTTTTTTTTTTTTTAATGAACATTTTTAAAATTGTTTAGGTTTCTATAGTTAATTTAATTAATCTATGATAGTTTTAAAATGTAATGTTGTAATATAGATATTAATTATAATAAAATGCTTAACAAGCCCACAGGTTGGATGCCCATACCATCATTCACTTTCTATAATTCTCCAACCCTCGTCCAAAACCAAACCACAATATTATTCATCATATAATCCTCACAACTATGTTTATGATATTCTCTCAGATATTTACCTGTCAGTTCAGCTCTTGTTAACTGTTTAAGAATTCATATCAAGCCACACAACTTTCCATGTCCATTTCTACTGTCATAATGCTATTACTTCAGTTATATTAACAGAAAGCAAAGCATCCTGTACATATAATTGAAATGCTCCATATTCTGTTATTAAAAACTAAGATCTTTGATTATATATAATTTTTTTTTGTCTTAAAATTAAATAATTCATCTCAAAATTAGCATGCTTCAATATTATAATTTTGTATTTATATAATGTTTTTAAATTTAAAATCATACTCTGACAAAGTACATTTAAGTAAGTAAAAGACCAAGTAAGGCATTCTCATCAAGACATCAGACTAATATAATAGTGGCTAAATAAGTATAAGAGCCATGTATGCAAGGAAAAAATTCAAAAAGCCTTATTGAAAACTTTTAGTTCAATTCTCATTACTCTCTAATCCTCTTTTGAAAATATTATTAAATATTTAAAAAAAAAAAAATACAACACTTAAAAAAACTAGAAAAATAAATTAAAATTGTGTGTCACAGTTTGGAAAATACTGCTAGTGAAGGACATTAGAAAAAGCTTTTTTTATAATCCATATAATATATATATATATATATATATATATATATATATATATATATATATATATATATACATTCATTTAAAAAAATGAATAAATACATTTATTTTTTTACTATGGCCATTTTCCGACTATAGAAATTTTGAAAACTTACTAAAATTAGGTTGAAATTGTCTCTACTTATTTAAGTAGAGTTTTTATTTGTTCCTTAATAAATATTTGTGAGTGGTTTGTTTGAAGTGTTTATAGAATATATAGGTTTTTGTTTAATATTGATAGTTACTTAATTGATAACATTAAAAAAAAAATGCTTTTAAAATGTAGGCTGTTTCTTGGGAAGAGTGTCCAACAGAGACAAGTTCACTTCGGAGGAGGCAGAGTGGACCCCGTATTCCTTCTACTCGAACACCTCCTCCTACCAGAAGAACTTCTGTTCCTGGGAGAAGAGCACCGGCTTTTGTTCACCAAGATGAGCTATGGCTGACACAGAGGCACTGCAAGGCTAGATGTACAAATGTCAGCAGTCCTGATGGTAAATTTTCTTCTGTAATAGCTAATATTATTTTATAATTATCGTATTCTTCCCACTAGCAGTCTAATACTAAGGAAGATAACAAACAATAAGTAGTCAATATGTCATTATATTCTTAAAATCTTTCTTCTATGGTTATGAAAAAATATTTCATATTTTGAACATAAGTTGTGTATTTTTATTACTCTCTAAACAGTGTGAATTTTTAAAGTTCTTTTGAAAAGCTAAGTGTATTTATGTTTTTCAACTGATTATTACTTCATGTTATCTCTTAAATAGTGCTTGAAATACAATTTTAAGTTTCTTCTTTAATTTTACAAACTTGAGAGGCCAGCAATCTTTTATATTCAGTCATTATTTATAAAGCATAAAGACAACTGATTTGCACAATCCTTGAACTCTGTTAAATGCCTGTGAAGTAATAATTTTTTTATTTTAATATTAAAACATAACCTAGTGTTGATTAAAAAACATTTTTTTTAACCTGTTAACTCAGTATTGTTTCTCCTTTTTTTAGTATGTGAAGAAGAGGTTTCAGTTATACAAAGGTCGGTTTCTGAAAGAAGAGACAAGTGCTGTCACAGTACTACAAGCGGAGGCCTACAACAAGCACCAAGACCAGTAGGAGGAGGAAGTTTGAAAAAGCCAACTCCAGCTCATGTACAAAGCACACCAAATGTTCTGGCAGGTGCACTGTCCGAGGGTGAATTACTTGATCTTTCTATACTTCCCATTTTTCAGAAACTTCTCACAGAACGTAAAGGTGCAGCAATTGCTTCATGCCCAAATATTGCGATAAAATGTGACATTGTTGAATACCTATAGGTTCTTTGGTATGGTTGTGACATAGTTGCATAAAAAGGAGGGTCATCGATATTACTTAATGAAACCAAAAAAATCAATATAGTTCAGTATATAGATTGCCTAATTTGAGAAAAAAATTTAATATGTGGAATTCTTTTAAGATCTGCTTTTGTTATCAAATTTCTTTTTATATTATAAAAATATTAAAATAAACGTATAATAACCAGTAATTAAGAGTGCTATCATGCGACACTTTTTAATGAACCAAATGCAAATAGATATTTTTATCAGAAGTAATATAATACAAAGTATATATGATCTCATCAGTAAGATAGAAAATATTAATATTAATGTATTAATCACCTAACCAATCAAATTATTATAAGTGTTGAAGATGATAATATTAGGAAGTGGTTTTATGTCACCATATGCCTCTTTTGGAATTCAACTGAATTAGTATTAAAGTAAATCTTACAATCAAATGGATAATGTTTAAAGAACTAGAAGAATTTTTTCCAATAATATCTTCAGGTCTTTTGATCTTATTGCTAATCATTGATTGCTGGCCATTTTTTAGATTTAGCATCTGATTAAACATTATCTAATGAAAAATTAAATGCTAAACTAATTTCCAAATACAGGTTTATCAAGTTTCTAAAAAAGACACAAACTTTTAATGTGATTTTTTTTATTTATTTAATTTTGCCTTAACCAAAATTTGTTTATTAATTTGGTATTAAGCACCAATGTACTCTAACTAGGGATGGAAGGATAAATAATTCTACCGATCTCAAACAAATATAGAAAGCATTGAAACATCAAAAATTGTTCCATGGCTCCATCAATATATAAGTCTTTCCTCATTAGCTTGGGCTTAACCAATTTCCACTTCCTATGTTAGCATACCGCAGTGCAGCCCAAATAAACTCAACTGACTAAATTAAAAAAAAAAAAACTCTTATATCTCATTGTGCTTTAATGGGCTGCAAGTATCTTTGGTTGTTTAATGGTGTTATCCTGTTTGTATCGAATATATTCTCTGAGTTGAGACTAATTTCCTACAGTTCTTTTGTTAAGACCTAAAGATAATATGACATGCAGAATGCATTCTGGTTAGGGATGGGTAGAAGATCAATAATATACAGTAAACATAAAACAAAACCATTTATAAAAATCTCGAGTATAGTTAATTATTATGATATCTAACGTAATAATTGTTCTATTAATAAATACCTCTTCAGTTTCATGCATAAAGATTTTTTAAATATTCTAAAATTCCATATTGTACCAATGAAGGAAGGCTACATCAACGCAAGTAAGAAATCATGACTCGTTAGAAACATGCATTTGAACTTTTAATGTCTTGTAAGAAATGGGATACAAATAGCACATTAAACTAAAATATTATCATTAATATTTTGAGTTGATATGTTGATTTTACCATTTAATGGTGTTAGGAATACTATGTTTTTATTAATTTATATTAGAAAATTTTGAAAAGAAAAATTGTACCTAGTAGCAATAATTAAAACTAACTAAATTAGATTTAAGGTATCTCAGAAGTTTATATATTTAACAGTATTATTACAAATTGAAAAAAAAAACTATAAGAAATCTTTGAAGAGCAGTCATTACTAAAGATAAGTGAAACAAACCAATGGAAACATTTGTAGCGGAAGAAAAATATTTTCTCTAATGTATTTTAATTTAATTATTTAAGAAAAAAATTGATGTCAAAAGTGCCAATTATATTTTTTATAGAGTAATATATTGTAGTTTCGAGAAATATTTCAAGTGTGCATTCATACTTTTAGCAAAATTAAGTTAAAAATATATAAATATGAGAATAATTAAATTTTATTTATGGTAGTGATCAGTTAAATAAATAATGATAATAAAAAATAAATAAATAAATAAAGAGGCAATACTCTTTTTGAATCAACAATCTCCCCTTGTATAGTGGAAAAAAAAAGTGATTACATTTATTATTTTATGTGGCTTTCAATTAATAAATAATAGAATATTAAAAAAACGAGATCATATATAGCAAATTATCATTTTTATTAAATTGATTCATAAATAAATAAAACTATTTAACAATTTTTTTTTTAATCAAACTTCTAACAATGAATATTTTTTTATTGTATTTTCTATCATGCAATATGGCATTGTCAAGATAATGTTTAAATAAATTCTAAAGGGATGCATTCATATTATTCCATCAGAATAACCCTTAACCCTTGTTCTGGAAACGTTCCATAGTTTTTTTTTTTTTGAAATTTATTTCATTGATAATAAGTTAGGTTTAGATCTGGAAATCATGATTGCCACTCTATAAACATCAGATTGATGTATTTTCAAGATTTCAAGATATCTGGAAAGAGTGGTTAATCGTTAATGATGACAAATTTCTCCTTTTTATTATAGTTCTACGAAACACAACTCATAAAAGTTATAATAACTTAAACATAACAATCTATAAAATGATGACTCTGCCTATTTATGCAAATTATAGTGATCTTGGTTTTATTTAATTTATTCTTAACAAAGTAGCATTTCATAAATAAAGAAAATATAAAACTTCCATTACATTGTCATTGAACACTACGGGTCGTTAAGAGAAAAAAAATAGCCAAATCAGAAAAAATAAACCAAAAAAAAAAAAGACAATCACACTTAATAACTAAGTAATTTTCCTACTGCGTTCTTGACAGAACTGGAATCTAGTGCTTGTGAGCTGTATTTTGAATTTCACAAATTGTCTTTATTCCTTTGTTTCATATATTTTTCAATCTTGTAAAATAATAATTTGTCTTTCTTTAAAATGTTCTATATATTTGTGTAATACAAAATTTTATGATAATATCTTAAAAAATAAGAATAGGAGTTATCTCTGTGTACTACCAATGTGTTTAATAAGTAATAATATTTGTATGTAACTATAGATAGCCTAATATAATTTGCTCAAAATGTCAATTAAATGTGTTTCTTTATCTCATGAGACATTTAATATTGAGCAGATCATGTCATTTTATTAATGCTTTTGTTTTTTTAAAGTATAGGATTTCAACTCCCCATATTCCTAATTTCTTTCCTTTGAGCAATTTGATGATTATGATTTGTTTTTATTTAATTCTTCATATCAATGATTCTCTGGCAGTTTTTTTTAAAAATGAAGTAATACTTAAGTTTTATTGAGACAGGGTATACAATTAAGTACGGAACATCAGTTAACGTTATTAATTCAATTGAGTGTCAGCTATCTATTATCAATAACCATGGTACAAATTAATATCTTCATTAGTTATATTTACTAATCAATTTAAATTATCAAGATTTTTTATTTACTTTTAATTTCATAACATTTTAAGATTAAATTAATCTAAAAAACATTTTTAATATTTTAATCAGTTAACATAAAAAGGAAGCAACTAAAATGTTTTTTTATCTAATCTACATAAGCCAAATGAGTGGAATAAAGCTATACTCTCATACACCATTATAAAATTTAAAACAAGCAATTAAAGTTTAGTTTAGAATAGATTATTTCGAAAAAGACAGTAAAAGTAAGAAAAAAATATATTTTAAGTATATATATATATATATATATATATATATATATATATATATATATAAAACAAATTTTATAAATGGATTATTTTCTCACAATTTCTTATCAGAACAACTATAAATTCAAACTAATTAAAATCTATGGAACTGTTGGAAAATTTAAGAAAATTTAAATTTAAATGGTGTTTGTTTTTGTTTCACAATCACCAAAAGATTTTAATATTGGTTCAATCAATCAAAATGAGTAAGTGATATTCAATGAATATATTTTTTTTTTATACCAATTGGTATTGTTCCAAAAATGAAAATAATGGCTTCAAGTGATATAAGTCATAATACTTCATTATGGAAAGAAAAGAAAAAAAACATTAAATTATCCTTGAATTTGGAGATATAAAACTGTAAAATTTACTGAGGGGGTGATTTATTTTGAAAAAAGTCCTAAGGTATCGTATTCTCATCACTTAATTTGTATAAGTTAAATTCATTTAAATTTTGAGTGCTAATATGAATTACAAGGTCCATGATAAATTAATAAGTATGATCATAGGAATAATTAAGTAATTTAAGGATTTATTAAATAGAATTTTGCTAATCTTAATTGAATAAAATGGAATCTTTTATTTTGTATTTTGATATTGATAACTCAATTTTTTGAATTGCTAAACCTAACTCCTTCATTTCATGATCATTTTATTAATATTTTTCAATAAAGTATTATGTTTAGAATAATTTCAAAAGGATAGGGTGTATACCCAGAAGTGGGGAGAATTGCTTAAAAAGGGGTAATTAATTTAAGGTCTCAACCTTAAATTAATTAATTTAATTAATAACAATCAATATATTGTTAATGAGTTTTTCAGAAATTTGTTTTTTAAATTTATCACTACTTAATTAAATTTCATGTAGGAAGGGAAGGCAGCATCCTGTAGCTCATTTTCTCCTCAGGGTACATCAATGCCCATAGGAGCCTAAAATATTTTTATGTAAACTATAAATGAAAAATTATTCATTGACTAGGAATGAAGCTGAATTTCCACTATTTAAAATTTAATTGATCACTGTATTACAAAGAAATAAATTAAGTCTTTCAGATATTAATAAAACCATTGGTGTAATAATCTATAACTTCCAATAAACATGAAAAAAAATGGTGTTTTTAGTTCTTTGAAAATTTGAGGGTACTTTTTAAAATTATCAATAGCTGCAGAAATTTTAAATGTGACAAGTTATAATAATTAAAATGAGGTGATAACAGATTTTGTAAGCAGGAACACATTGAAGTTGCAGGAATAATTCTAAAAATTGGTAATTAATAATTATCTTCTTATACTACTACACTGATCTGTCCGGCATTGATTTAAATTAAGTCTTCAAAAATGTAATTTTAATCTTTATTTCAATTTATGATGATCAAATAATTGTTTGCTACAGCTTATTTTGTTAATAGTTATATAAGATATTTTCATGTAGTTTTATGAATAATCAGGTACTTTTTTTTCCTTTTAACTCCGCTTTATTTATTTATTTTAGATGTACAACATTCTTTTCTTTTTTTTACCTACAGAAGCAATATACACATATTTTTATTTATTGTTGTTTTAAAAATATTCAATTAATTTTTTATGTTTAAATTTTATGGATTATCAAAATATATCACATATCAATATTATATAACTTAGTTCATCTCAAAATAACTAAAATCGATCTTCATTATTAAACATTATATACATTAACACAATTTTTGTTTCTAGTTGGATTTATTTTTTTTATTAGGGGAGTTGTGTAAACTTATTAATTTTAAAATTATGCCACAATCATATAAGTAAATCACAAAATTATTGAAATTTAAATAATAGAGATCAAGTGAATTCTTTTTTACAAAATATGTCATTTATTGTATGGTTTACATCTTAACGGCATAATTCATTACTTGAATGCCATGAAAAAGTAATATTGTGAATACAAAAAAATGTTAATTAGTTTTGAGTTAATTTATCTGCCATTCAATATGTGTTGTAGAAGGAATAATAATAGGAAAGATAATAAATAATTAGATATAATTGTTTTGTGCTTATTAATAAATTGTTGTTAATAAAAAGATAAAACAAAATGAGAGATGCTACAAAAGTATAAGTCATTTAATGTGAGATTTCTAATAATAAGAACTCTAAGAATATGTATATAGATTTTAAAAGATAATATTGTGTTAATATTTAATCTAACTTGATGATGTGATAGGTTATGAATTGTTTATTTTATTTAATTTTTCAAGAAGTGTTTTCAATAATTAACAAAAAATATGTAAGGTTGTGTTGTTATTGAGTATGCTTTAGCTGAAGTAGAAAAATAGATTTTTTTATAATGTTTATAGTGTAAATAGTTGAACTGATTTATATGTTTTTTGTCAAAAGAATTTGTAAATAATAATATTACAATAATGTGTAAAGAATTGTTTAATTAAAAATAGTACGAAATAAGTATAAGGACTGTGTTTATTTTCAGGTGGTCTTATTCATTATTTAATAATGTATTAATTATATTGAGATAATATATCATACAAATTTCAGTGGCATTTATCAGCAATAAGATGTGATTTAATAGAAATTTAAATAATTCAAAATTTTTAAGAAAATAAAAATTTTCATTGTTTGGAATTTTAAGTGTTGGAATACTCGATTGCCAACTAGTTACATCCATTTCATAAAAATAATACACATAAATAGCGATACATTTTTCTATACTGGAACACATTTTCCTTTTATTTATATATATAATGCAATCAAAATATTTTTGATAATTTAAAATTCACAGAAATGACAAGTCACCTCAATTTATAAATGTTTTAAGTGATTAAGATTTGTTTTTGAATATTCAAATTTTATAGAATGTTATATCCAAAACATTTTCTATGTCCATAACATCAAGAGTCAATTGGCATTTATAAGTAGCATCCATTAACTGCTTCAATATTTTATTTATTTAAAATTCTTATTAACATTTTGGAGAACATTCCCCATCTTCAGAATCTTACTTGTTATCTTATATATAATTAAAGATAAATATCTTTAAAGTCAATTAATTTAAAATATTTTTAACATTCTTCTGTCCTTTAAAAAAAAAAAAGACAAAGTGAGATTATTTCAGGCTAGTAGGCCTTTTATAAATCAAAGTAGACTGTTAAAAAATATTTAAATGAAATATAGGATAAGAAAGAATATGAAGATGAAGAATGTCCCCCAAAATTTTAATAAGTATTTTAAATAAATAATGTTGAAGCATATAGTGGATGTTAATTATAAATGCCAACCAACTCTTGGTGATTTGTTTTTGAATAGTTGAGCTGATGAGGGAAGTAAATGTAACCAAATATCCAAAATACGGGGGTCTTATTAAAGAATTGGCGACTATATGTAAAATATAAATGTATTTTCATTTCAATTTTTTTAAACTCTTTTTTTCTGAAATCGTTCAGGAAGAAAGTCAAGTTATCCTACGAAAATGTTTATTGTAATTATTTTCTGCCAATAACTTTTTTTGAAGCCATTAATTTCATTTCAGTTTATTTCCTATTATAATGTTTTTTAAGTACTTTATACCTCATAAAGATTTCCATGCCATATTTTATGAACCTGATATTCAAATCAAAATCTTTTTTCTTGTACATAAACAACACATACTTAACTGTATTATAAATGACTTACTGTTGTTGCATTAAAAATGGATGTAGTCTTGTTATCATATCGAATTTAAAACATATAATTCATAACTGTGTAGTAAATAATTTTTATCCAATGTTACCTATTATATAAAAAGTGATGTGTTTTATGACATATTCCCAAAATAAAAAAAAAAATAATAAAAAAGTAAATAAAATAAAGCACACCTTTAGGAACTATACTGTGTATATATGTAATTGTTTGTTCCTGTGTAAATATTTATAAATTATTGTTGACGTTTGAACTGTTTATCACATGTTCCTCTTGTTCCAGTTACATGAAGTATTCGTTTTTAAAATAAATAGATGAATCACTATTCCATCCTAATTTTGGTTTGTTCATTTTAATTTATAACTATAAATGTAGTTTTCATAGTTCAGTGTATATAAATAAATTCAGTTTCGAAGTTTATAGATTTTCCTTTCCTTTGTATTACTTTATTGCATAATTGTTATTTTATTGTTTGGATATATTTCAAGGATATATTATGAATGAGTGGTCCATAATAAAATAAAATGGCAGAATCTATTTGTTAAATTCTCACCACTTTCATATGATAATTTTTGTCACCATTTGGACCATATTCTGCTTAATTTACCAAAAGATCAACCATAAAAATATGATCAAAGCTAATTTTATAGCATTTAGGACAAGGGGATCACCCAATATTACACATGTTTTGAGTAATCTTAAGTCAAAGTTAAATGGCTTTTAAACTAAGTAGGCTTTTTCTCATCTCTCAGGATATTTATGAATGCCATTTCAAAAAAACTGTTGCTCTTTAGTGAAGAAAGAGTCATCAAGCCATTTTCGTAGATTTTTCATAAAAAGTGAAACTCTGCTGAGCAAATACATGCCCCATAAATACAAATAAATAGTAGTCAAATGATGACAAGCCTGGTGAGTAATATAGCCCGCATGTGCCAATATTTTCCACCAAAACACCTCAATTATTTCTTTTACTCATTTTGTTATGTGAGATGGTGCATTATTACGAAGAAAAATCATTTTTTGTTTTCTTTTTGATATTGCGGTGTTTTTTTCACACAGTAATAGATTCAAATTGATAATTATTTAATGATAGAATCCAGCATTAATTGTTTTGCCAAGTTTCAGCAGCTCGTAATAGAATATATCACACCAAAGTTTCATGTTCTTTATTTCTCACAAAATCACCACTTTTGAATTTTTTAAAACACACAAATCACTGTGATTTACCAAAAACATGCCCAGCCTACGCTTCAACAAGCATTCAATGCGATTCTGCAGGAATTTTCTCTAAATTCCAATAGAAAACTAATGTTGTTAGCAAATATATTTGTTGGGAAAAAAATTGTCATGTTCAAAACTATTAAAATGATGCTACCTATTAAAATATAATAACTTTTAACTAATAATATGTTAAATCAAACTTGTATTCGTGTGTGTTGAAAATATTTAACTTTTGAAGAAACAAACTGGTGCCACAAATGTGGTTACCAAAAACTACATTAACAACTAGAGCCATCTATGGAAGAATACTAGTTTCATATTTACACACTTGATATTTGCTATTTGATAAAACAAAATTATTTGAAGTAAAATATTTAGGGCCAAAAATAATTATAGTGGTATTTTTAAAACAAGTTTAATGTCTCTAGAAAAAAAAAAAACGACAGACCAGATTAGGATTGGTATACATGTTAAATTAAAAAAAAAAGTTAAGACTTTAGTATTTAATAATTTGCAAAAATCAACTTAGGCTAAACACACATTGACAAAAAAAAAATACAACAAAAATGAAACATATAATAAAGCATTAAAATATAATAAATAATTTATCAGTCTTTTGTATGAGAAACCACAACTTTTCCTCTAAGGTGTCCATCACTGACTTTCTTAAATGCTTTCGGTATGTCTTCAAATAGGAAGGTAGAATCAATTTTTGGTTTTATCTGAAACAGTAGAAGTAAAATAATAATAATAATAATATGTAATGTATCTGATTTTTTCACAGAAGATGTCAGTTTTGGTAACAGTAATCAAAATGAATGGTTGCATTAAAATAGTTTTAAACTTATTAGTTTAAAGCATTAAGCATATCGCTATCAAAGAATATTCACAACCAACTAACCATGTATATATTTTTTATTTAACTTGTAAATGCTAACAAAGTTGATATAATCTCAGACCCTTATGGAAACATGAAGCATTTGCCTTCATCCCTTGGATTTAACCTTTTCTGAGACTAATTGATTCAAAATTTAAATAAATTTTCTACAGGAGATCCTTAGAAAACATCAATGATGGATTTGTTGAAATATTCAACAATATAAGAGACATCACTTTCTCCAGAGAACAAGTTCTAAAAGAAGCAGATAGTGTGTTTCAAATTCAACATAAATCTTCAAGCAAAAAAAAAACAAATCTAAAGCCAGACAATGAACCAAACTATTAAAATTATTATTATTATTTTTTTTTTTTGTAGCAATCAAAATATTTTCATGAGTAAAACAGTACTACCTTATGAAATATATAGAAATATGATATATATATATATATATATATATATATATATATATATATATAGAAATATGATAGCTCTGGAGAGTTCAATTGATTATATTTATCAATAATTCCATCTTTCTTTGAAACCACCATGCAAGATAAAATTATGAATTATTGGGGAAAATAACAGTTTTACAAATACACAACTTTTGATCACACTACTTTGGTAGTAGAATCTCAAAGAATCATTGAAAAAAATTTTCATTAGTCCTCCAGAAGAGAAATTTCTAATTATTTTACAGTCTTGTTATCATATAACACCTCTACAAAAATATAATACCTCTATGGTCATTTTTCTAATAGACAACTTTGATAACACTAAAAAAAGACTTAAAAAATGATAAATTAGCATAAAAATATCCTCCATACTTGTTCAGTTTTTACGAGTTGGCCAATTTCTGTCATCCCCATTCCCAATGGTGCGAAAAAACCCCATCTCACAGTACAGCCTTTCGCAAGAACATTTGATGATAAGTTGTACGTCAGTAGATCTGATGCATTTTTAATTAGTCCTGAAATATAAGAAAATGAAGAATAATTTATTTATTTATTTTAATATTAATTTAATATTAAAGTAATTAGTAATCTGATGTAAAGTTTAACAGCCTGAGCCTGAATAGGTGAGTCAGTCTTTGAAATGGGTAAATTAAATAGACAATAGGCTATACAGTATTCCTGTCTGAAAAAAAAAACTTTCACAGAGAAGAATAGCTCTAGCAATCCTATTTCCATTTCATAATGACATCATTAGAAATGCTAAGATTTCTAGCAGCCCCACTGCCGACTTTAGTTGGTAAGTGAAGACTCGTGATTTTTTTAAGATTTTTAATTTTTTGGACGATTACAATGGTCAATTATTGAAAATAATAAAGCAAAACTATTAAAAGCCTTAATCAATACACAGGTGTTTGAGCAAGTACAATTCAAAACTTCAATTGCCTATCCCAAAAGGCTGTATCCTGGTGGGTGGATATGTCCTCATGGAAGGGAGCCTCGATATATATATATACATATCATCATCATAATTATTTTTCGCCCACTACCCAAGCAGTGTAAGGTGTCTTTCTGTACAGTCTGGACCAAGCTCCACAATCCTCAACCAGTTCTTTTCTGTTCTTTTCCAGACTTCCATTTGTAAAGCATTTTCATACCCCTTCCTGCCACATGTGCCATGACCTTCCTCTTTATCTTCTTCTGTCAACCTCCGCCTCATACATCATCCTCACAGGGTGATTATAATCCATTCTTAAAATTTAACCCAACCATCTTGGATAGTTTTTAACAACCTTCCTACTTTTTGATCTTATGGTTTCATTACAAATTCAATCTCTGAAACTTTACTTAACAGAGATTATTTCATAAATATGTTCATACATCTCACATTTTAAACCATTGGGTCCATATGGTAAAGACAACATAAACAAATATTAATAAGATAAAGAAAAACATTGGTGACATCACTGTCAAATCATTCCTGTATTTATCACATTAAATAATCAAATAATAATAATAATAAATAGAATATAAACTCACTGGTTCTTGGCTCTAAAATCAATAAAATAATTCAGTTCAACCCATACCAGAACACAGAGAGATCTAAGTATTTATATTATCTATTTATTATTATTTATATTACATTTATGTTGCCATCATACACACATTATTATTTTTTATCCTGCCTAATTTTATAACTTTGATTTTTTTTATTTATATTTTAAGAAGATTCTGGGTACTGTTAAAAAGTTCAATTGCTTAAACAGTTAAAGTTTTAGAAATATAAATGAATTAAAACTAGTTTTGGAGTATCCTGTGTTTCATAAATGTCTCTATTATTTTGTTTTCAAACAGTGGTTTAAGAACCTCAATTCAATAAGGCTTTGAATATATCAGAAATTGTGATTATCACAATGTCTCAATAGTTAATTATATTAAGCTAGTTGTCCATGTTGTCTTGAAGCAATTAGAATTACTTCCCTTCTTATACTCAGAATGAAAATAAGATAATTAATTTAAACAAAATAGATTTAAAGTATTTAAATTATGATAAACTAAGAACTATATCAGTAATACCTCCTAGAAGACCAAAACTATCTGTGTTTGAAAGAAATGGCGATTTCAATGTAATGAATTTCGAATTAGACCATTCCTTTAAAAATGGCACATAAGATACATAATTCACAGCTCCTGAAGCATCAAGTATAATATCATATCTGAAATAAAATAAAATAATTAATAAAATCATTGAATGAAAATTAAAAAAAAAAAAATCTTTTAGAAAAGCCATGAGTTAGACAAACAATTACATTATTATTACATTGTTTTTCAGTATCTTAAAACAATCGAGCATCTTGTAGTTAATTATTGTAAACATTCTTATGATTTCTGGGTTTCCAATTTATCTAAATATAATTAATTAGAAAATCTTCCAAGTTTTTTTTTTTTTAGGCCTCCAAGCAGAAATATCAAAATACGATGTTTTTCAACAATCTTAATAATGAGATAATCATTTATGACCACTAGAGGTAAAAAGGTATCAAAAATCAGATTAAAAAAAAATCATTTGTTAAGAGATTAAATAATTAAAAATTCATAAAAATTTCTATGATGGAAGGATCTTTTATGGACTAAGGAAAGGGGGAACTGTGGGTTTTTAAATTGAAGTAGTTTTGATGCAATCTAAGCAAGTGATGCATGTTTTTTTTAGTATATGTTTAATGCTGGATAGACAAAAATAAGTTTAAAGTTTTTTGAGTATCATAGCAGTGAATAATAAAATTATTTGGTAATATACAGTACAAGAAATACCTAAAGAATTAGTAACAAACTTTATATTTAACAAAAAAAAAAACTTTATTGTGAAGGATAGTGACACTGTATTTGTCGCTTAGCCAAAGATGTATTAAATTATGATGCTACTGCAGTTTAAACTACTAAAGAGCCATGTAAAAAAAGAGGTGAAGAAAGCAAAGTTACTAGCCTAAAATAGTGAGACAGCGGTGATGGTTTCAATTAAGTTGATGATAAGGATGGTTAAACTTTAACAAATTTTTCTAGTTTCACTTGATAGAATTCGATGCTTCAGGAAAGAAATCCCATGAAAAGGTTCAAAAAGTTTTATCAAAAGACTTCCAAACAAATTGAGTAACAAGCTTTGTTACTGTAATTAATAATAAAATAAATAAATAACAATACAATAAAGAACATGTGAGGCCGTGAAATATATGGTAAAGTTTGTACTCTGAATTTCACATTGCGAAAGATGTTTCGACGTGGAGGAGCTTAGGTACAGTGAGTAAGGCATTGTGCTCCTATGATTCAGGTCGGGGTTCAGGTATGGCTGTGGCAAATAATAGCACTTGCTGTTCTGTTAAAACAACTGCAGATCAGCCTTGAGGTCGGGAGACCCTTCAGGGGCACACCCAGTTCCTATAAAGTGGGTACTTTTAATAATAGGTAACTTAAATAATTAATCAGGGGGTAAAACTGGTAGTTGACCTTAATTTTGGTCAAACAACCTCTTTGCACAACCATTGACCAAGATAAAGCACTTCCTTACAAAGTTCTGAACCCAATACCCAACGGTTGTTTTGGTAGCGGTATGAAAGCTGTTTAATATTCCCGTTGAAAAGCTTTATAAAGAAGCTTTAAAATAAGAAAGTGAACAAGGATCTTCAATATCAGACCATGCTTCATAACAGAAAGGATCTAGAGCATAAATGGGTGGATAATCTGTGGCCACTTGTGTATGTGAAGTCTCTTAAGTTTTTGTGCTGCTTTCATAAAAACTATCTCTGGTATTAGTCAAGATTTAATTCTACAGATTATGACAATATGAAAATATAATTTTATATGTATGCTTAAAAAAAACAAAAAACAATTTTAATTATTTTATAAAGAATACAATTTTTTTTTCATTATGTATCTCCATTATGTATAATATGTATATATGTAAATCATCTCCTTACTTCCCAGATCCTTAGACAACTTCCCAAAAAAGAAATAATATTCCTCACATACTTCTACAACTGTATACTCCGTACAACTCATTTTCCTCTGATATGGAAACGCTCCATAATCATCCTCTTCCCTAAACTAGGTAAACCTGTTAATAATACCTCATTCTATAGACCAATAAGTTCGATTTCGACTGAGTGTGGCACGATGGCTTGCTTTTCAAGCTCAAAATCCACTTATCCCAATCCTTGTACCTAGTCCTCAAATCCTACCTTTCAAATCGTTTCTTTTAAGTCCGCTGCGGCACCGAATTCTCTAATTATTATCCAATTGAGACTGGTGTTCCACAAGGCAGTGTCTTAGGTCCAGTTCTCTACATTCTTTTCACAGCTGACATAACAACCCATCCTGATTCCCTTCTAGCAACATTTGCTGATGATACCGCCATCCTGTCATCCCACTCAGATCCTGAAACAGCATCCCTAAACTTTCAAAGACACATCTCCCTAATAGAGCAGTGGTGCAACAATTGGCGCATCAAAATCAATGAATTCAAATGCAAGCTTGATTTGAAGTTGAATGATTTCAACTCAGTACCTCTTCCCATCTCATATACAGTTCGGTTTCTTGGATTCCTTTCAGACAAAAGACTAATGTAGAACCCACATACCAGACTTAAAAGACAAGAACATAACCGAAGATTTGGCCAGTTATACAGACTACTTAACAGAAAATCTAACGTCTCAATAAAAAAAGAACTATTAATATATAAGACCATACTGAAACCCATCTGAACCTACGGACTTGAACTGTGCGGGACAACTAAATTTTCGAACATCAAAAGCATCCAATCCTTCCAGTCTAAAGTCCTTCGTACAATAGTAAATGCTCCTTATTATGTTACAAACGAAACTCTACATCATGATCTTAACATCCTTATGTCCTTGATGTTATTTCATCCTGTTTCTCAAATTTTCATCAAAACCTAATCCATCATCCTAATCCCTTAGCACAATCCTTATCCAACTCCAGCCATCCCTATAATCCTCCTCGAAGATTTTTTATTCTTATTTATTCATTTTTTTTTTTTTAATTTGTGTTGTATCATATATTATTTCATATGTTTTACTAAGCTTTCTTTTTCTTATTTTTGTTATAATTTCTATTATTGTTGTAATTGAATATATTGTATTAATGAGTTTCTTATATCTCAAATTCTCAATGCCCTTGATTGAGACAAAATGTATTTTTCTCAATAAATAAAAAAGTGTTTTAACGATCATGTAAAAAAAAAATTATCAATTATACAAATCATAAAAATAAATCATGAATCTTTTGTTTAAAGAAATTTGTGGTTAAGTCCACAAAATAAGTGATGGGAGAAAATGTCCCACACGTGACCATCCATGGCGAGATTGATCTACCAACCAATAACTGGTTAAATAAAAATGAGAATTTATGATTAAATATCTTGATTACTTTTCAATTTTAAACTCACTTGCCACTCAATTCTATTTCTCTCATGGCCTCTTTCTGCTGATAATCAATAATAATATCTGGTGACATACTTCTAACAAGTGGAACTGCATTAGTGCCACAAGTCGCTACCACCTACACAGAATGATATTTTTATAATTATTAAAAAACAAAAACAACGTTTAAATTAATTTAATATTGAGAGAGAAAAAATTAGAGCTTGCTAATGTATCAACAAGATGTAATTATTATCTATTTAATATGGTTATAATCATAAAGCTTTTGAAATAATTAGGCTATTGTAAACCAAATACATTAATATTTTGACTAATTAACTGAATAAATCATCATTCAAACTGTTTTATAATTCCTATAAAATATTTTATTTAGAACAAAAGTCACATAAACCCACAACATCTGTAAATATGATGTTTATAATTTATTATACAGGCTTGCTAGGAAATACAGTTACATATTTTACAATTTATTCATTTTCAGTAAAATAACGTACTGAGAAACTTATTGATATAAATAATACGTTTATTTTTAAGAATAAATTTCTAATATATTCTATATCCTTATTATTTGTATTCTATACATTTAATACTCAATGCCTCATAATTGTTTTCAGCTGAATTTCTCCCAAAAATTCTAGTCACCTCATTTATTATCTTAATGATATTTCAACCATCTTACCTGGCAGCCCCAAGCCTTCAAGAGTTGAACTGCAGCAGTTCCAACACCTCCAGAGGCTCCAATAACTAGAACTTTTTTTGTCTTAGGATCAGATATTGCTAAATCACCACTAATTTTCAAAGCAGACCAAGCGGTCAAAGCAGTATAAGGAATTGATGCAGCTTCTGTTTCGTTTAAACTTGATGGTTTCTGAATCATCTAGAAGCAGTTATTCTTAGGATAGAAAATGGCTTCTATGAATTATAAATAAATAACATAGAAAATAATTGTTTAACAGACACCTTCAACTAATAATAATTCAGTTTAATTTAACTCTTTCAGTGCCAAGATCAAAGAGCACTACTGTAAACATTGAAGAAAATTACTTTTCAAGTTTCACATAAAGCCAGAAACATATGCAGTTAAAACAGCAGTCCACCACTTCTATTTAGTCCAGTCAATGAATGTATTGGTGGAAATGGGGGAGGAGGGGATGTACAATTTTTAACTTTGGAACATTGTTTGGACTAAGAGGTAAACATACTAAAAGTCCTCACTCATAAGTGGTGAACCAGATCTTGGGAGGGGGAGTTAAAATGTCACTTATTTCCGTTTTTTACTATCCATACCATCCACAAAGGAGTTCTATACAGAATTAAAACTGATAAAATTTGTAATATGATTAATTATATACCTTTTTTCGTTACCTGTCTTAGTTTCCGAGATATACCGAGAAATTTGGAGAAAAAAAATTACCTCATTTTTTTTTTTTGTTTTTTACTGTATTTGACTAAATAACTCTTGAGTACTTCGTTCTACGATTAAGTCATGGAGAAGAAAGTTTTTAATAATTAAATTTTCTTCAATAATATTATTTTACTAGTTTATCTCCAACGGTTCAAAAGTTCGATCAATTTTTTTTTAAATTTTCAATGTCAATTACGAGAATTTGCAGAAACTAATAATAATAAACTAGTAAAGTTTCCAAATCAGCGATTGTTGAGGACGGATATCTCGGAAACTAAGCAAGGTAGCGAAAAAAGGTATATAATCAATCATATAGCAAATTTTAACAGCTTTAAGTTTGTATAGAGCGTCTTTGTCAATGTGATGAATAGTTTTCCTGATATAAGCGAAAACCCAAAATACAGCAATAAACATGAGGCAACTAATACTTTTCAAAATTAGCCATAGTTGAGGACGGATATCTCTGAAAGTAAGAGAAAAAATAGTCCAGTCAATGAATGCCTAAAATGGGAGTGTAGAGTGCGTGAGCAGGGACCTAAGGGATTCCTGCAGAAACTTGTTTAGGGTGCTAAGGGTATAAACATATCCACAGGCGGATTTACGGGGAGGGAGGAAAGGATTTTCGGGCTGAAGCCCTCCCCTCCCCAAATGGTAAAATGTAACCATGTTTTATGGTAAAAAATTATGTCTTAAAGTATTATTGTTCGTTTAATTACAATTAATAGGACTTCCAGAATCACTTGAACACCATTTCATATAGGTAGTTAGTATCTTTTTGTTTTTCCAAAGTAATCATCGTTATATATAAGAAAAAAAAGCTTCCGGGCTGAAGCTCCCCCAATATTAAATCCTGGATCCGCTAGTGAACATATCTGAAGTCCTGACGACTAGGTGGTGAGACGGGAGTGAGGGGGGAAGGAGGGGAAAAGTTCACAATTGTTAGATTTTCTATTTTGTTATATTGAATACATATAATTATAAACTGCTTTGTTATCACTGTTTTCAATAACATATTAATATTACACCCACAAAATTAAGATGGTATCAATTTTTTTTTTTTCTTTTCTACCTCGGCCTTATAGGCTGTACGAGGTTTTTCCTGATCGGAGAGTGAGAGAATTCGAAATCGCAACGAGATGCGAACTCCTACTTTTTTTTATAATCTCATAACTTACTTCCTTGTCTGGTTGCTGGCAACTCGCGTTAGCCCATTCGGCCACCAAAATGGAATATGGTGGAACCAGTCTTGAATTGGGAACCTTCACCATCTGAGATCAGCACGCTAGCCACTGCACTACCAGAATACTGTTTTAGACGGATTCACGTTTATATTCAATTTGGACTTGGCAGGGATTGTTTGTGAATGGCATTTTCACTTTCATAGCCAGAGAAAAAAAATAGACCTGATCGCAGGCAAAGGTTTGAATGTAAATTACGAAAGTGTGTGTTATTCTGAGTAAAAAGAACTTTTTCTGCCGTTTCAGAGCAGCTGCTTTAAAAAATGGCGGTTGATTTAGAGAATATTAGACCAGTAATTATAGGATAGAAACGGGAAATCCATGGCGAAAACTGTGAGATATTATTTTTAACTTGTATATATGGGTTTAGACATGTAAAAAACAAAATTGCAAACTCGGGCCACAGAGGGAAAACTTTTTACAGTAAAAAAAGTCAGATTTTTTCGATATTTTTTGGTGTTTAACCTATAACTCCAAAACGATGCATCAAGGCTTAAAATGTATTTAATAGATTAAAGACCGTTAAATTTTGCGACGAACGAGTACATAAACTTTAAAAATTGGTAACAAGGTAAGGTATAAAACCGCGGTCAATCAACGCTGATTTTTACCACATTTGTCGAAAACAGAGACAAATTACTATAAATGCTCCTGCAACTTGGAAATGAGTTCCTTAAGTGGAAAAACCCATAGAATCGAAGTTTTAGAGCATCAAATTTTCCATCTACTGAGTGCCTACTAATTTAATGTAGGTCATTTATTCCGAACAAAATCGGTAATCTCTCGATGGTTAGAAATTGGTACTGAAGGTAAACGTGATTTTCAGTATTTCAACACTATCGGTGTCTATTCTACTGAGTTATTTTTGTTTTAAGTCTTTTACATGCACTATAAGCCTCTTCTCCACGCCTCAACAGCAAAGGATTTTGATAAACGATGTTTCGAAAGATACCGAATTTCATAAAGGAATGACGAATCCTAATTCAAGATATATTATTCGCCTACAATAAAAATGTCAGTACTCAGTGTACGCAAAATTTGATGCTCTACAACTTTGATTCTATGGGTTTTTTCTCTTAGCGAGCTCATTTCTAAGTTACAGGGCCATTTATAGTAATTTGTCTAAGTTTTTGGCAAATCTGAAAAAAATTAGCGTTGGTTGACCGTGGTTAAATTATAAAGATTATGTATTCGTTCGACGCATAATTTAACGTTATTTAATTTATTGAGGAGTAATTTTTTCAATACATCGTTTAGGAGTAAAAAAACAAAAAATTAACTTTTCTGGTTGTAAAAACTTTTCCCTTGGTGGCCCACGTTAGCAATTTTGTTTTTTACATGTCTAAACCCAAATATACTTGTACCACTACATCCTATGAAAGGTCTTGGATTAAGTACTATTTAGGAAAAGCACTGTTTCTTGGTCTAGGGTAGTACAAAGAGGTGATTTCATGAAGATCACGCTCAACCCCCAGATTTTCTCCAGATGAAACAGAATAAATATTTTTTCTACCTGGGACCTTTACCTGGGATATTTTTTCGAATCTGGGACCTTTAGCATTGGAAGCTCAGTACCTTACCACTAAGCTACCCTACTCCCTTAAAAAACTGATATATACAAGTTAAAAAAAATAAAAACTTTTCTTACATTTTTAGCAATGAATTTCACGTTTCGATCCTCAAATTACTGGCTTATACCTTAATGTTTCAGATCTGGCCCAATCCAGATACCTATCCTTCCAAAATAAATTTCAGAATCATCCCAACCCTCTCGTTTCTGACCTTGCTTCCTTTTCAATTCCTGATAAACCTCCGAGGTGTCTGAAAAGAAGATGGCCCCGTAATCACCTAATGTAGACATATCATAAGAGTTCTACCATTGATGAGTTCCTCAACAAGTGTTTTCAAATTTACTAAATGTATTTCTTTAATACAGTTGTAAATATCATTTAAAAAAATAAATAAATAAAAATTACTGGCCTAATATTCTCTGAATCAGCCACCATTTTTTAAAGCAATAGCTCTAGAACGGCAGACAAGGTTCTTTTGCTCAGAATAACATAAAATTTCGTATTACCTCGTTTTCATACCACCTCACTTGTAAGTCTCTATTTTTATTCTTCTAATTTTATTTAGTTATTTTTTATTTTTCTTCTTCTTTTTTTATTTTCTTTCTCCACATCCCTTTATGTCCATTATTTCATATCATATCCTTTTTTCTTTTCTTCTAATCACGCCTGTAAATCTGTAGGAGTGTATTCATAATTCCATATATTATATTTTATATAATACTACAACAATTGTTACCATCTATTTATTTTAGTTTAGGATCTTGTTACTTAAATTACTCTGTTTATACAATTTATTCTTCTTAATATTTTAATGGACTTACTGTTTATAATTTTAATAAGTTTATTCACATTGTTTATAATTTTTATATGATGTAACTTCCACAATTCTCTATATCTTTTTGTATCTTGTCCGTTCTGGCCCTGCAAAGTTGGGTCGAAACATTGGCTTTTAATAAAATAGTTTTGCCACTATTTAGTCTATTTATGACCGCCATCCCAGACCATCCTTTCCTACATTTGATTTGGTTTATTTTAAATAATTAACTATCTCTTATTGTTAGGAGTTACGAAAAAATGCTAAATATAAATTTTGAAAGAATTTGATAATCGGATAAAGGAGAAATGAAAATGTTCATTTAAGTTGAAAATGAATCTCCGGAAATAAAAGACACAAGGTATAAATATAACATATGGGTGGAAACCAGAGAATTTTAGAACACATTATATCTAATATAAAAAGTCGTTGAAGGTAACAGAAATTGAATACTTTTTACTGAATAATTTCATGAATTTTTCCTTAGTGAAATCCCAACATTATCCACTTACAATTAGTGTGACAACTTTTGACCAATTTTAATTAATTGGTAATTTCATTTTAGTAAACTTTGCAATGGAAAATAACAGTTTAAAAACTAATATGCCTACAATTCATAATCATTTATAAGTTGAATATACAGATATATTTTCAAAACTCTCTAGGTATTTGAGAATATTGACTTGGAAAAGTTAAAATGAAAAAGACAGTGATATATGAGTAAAAATCCATGGTTAGATATAAAACCAAGGCAATCTATGGAAATGGCGATAAAAAAAAAAAAAAGAAAGTATCTTACACACTATCATTTTAAACATCAAATTTATCCACAGTAGAGGAGCACCAAAATAACTGTCCGTGCATTATGAGTTCAAGGCCATGAATAGTAAATGACAAAGTAAATTAATAAATAATAACTGTTAGTAATTTAAGTGTGAATGGTCAAACAGAAATATACCAGGAAAGCTTAAGCTCACTAGACTATTAAGTGACAAAAAAATTAATTTTAAAAATACCAAAGTTGAAATAAACTATACTACAAAATGTGGTGAGAAGCATAATTATGCTGATAAAGTAAATAAGTACCATATGATCATCTATAACAAGATAGCTTGCATGTGATCCTTGATAATGAGGAGGAACAGCTCCATACACAAAATCTCCAACCTTTATATCATTTCTAACATTAGATGATTTTAAAACAACTTCGCCACAGAAGTCCCTTCCAGTTATTAAAGGTAAATTTTTCAATTCCATATTAAAATCACATTTTCTAAGAGTATCAAGAACAACATTTCCATATCCTCCTACAATAAAAACAAATCAATGATGGGAAGGTCAAATTAAAATTCGAAGGATAGTTAACATCCAAATCCAATAATTTACCTATCATAGCAACATCTAAAGGATTGACTGAAGTTGCATGTATCTTCACGAGAACATCATTTGGTTTCTTTAGTTGAGGAACAACAACATTATTTAATTTCAACTGATCCAATCCCCCAAAACTTTGAAATTGCCATGCTGGCATCAGTTCAGTGTGAGATTTCAGAGGTTCACTCAATATTTTAGTTTGAGCTGTTGCATACTTACAAGCTTGTCTAAACATTTTGTATTAAGTATAGGAACAGTTGGTCACTGTCAAGAACAATTATTTTGAAGGCAAAAATTTTGTTTAAAAACAACAGAATTTAGTACAATAAATCCAATTTTATCACTTTATCACCAATTTTCAGGGAAAAGACTAATTACCACTAAACATTTTTATTGTTTTTTTATTTGACAAGCTCAGTGACATGGCTATGAATAATTAATAACAACGATGTCGTTCGCGAACAAATAATTCACCAACAAAGAGCAACAGAATAGAAACTGTGATTTATCAGTAAAAATTTAAGAGCACATACTGGTTTTGTCCAACAAGTTTATTAAGTAATATTTAAATGATTCAGAATACTAGCGGATCCAGGATTTAATTTTGGGTAGGACTTCAGCCTGAAGGCTCTTTTTTTCATATATATAACGATAATTACTTTTAAAAAAAAGAAAGATACTAATTTCCTGTATGAAATGGTGTTTAAGTGATTCTTAAACTCCTATTAAATGTGATTACACTCACAATAATACTTTAAGAGACAATTTTTAAATATTTTTTCCTTAAAATGTGGTTACGTTTCACCATTTTGGGGGAGCTTCCCCCGTAGATTCGCCTGTGATTCAGAATTATTTAGATATCAGATATGTGTTTGTTTAAAGTACGTCTTTCGAATGGTTAGGTTAGGATACATTTCTAGCACAAACAAGTAAAATTATTAAACTATGTAAAAAGATCCATAATTACAATTTAATAATTTATGTAATCGAACGATAAAAGAAATAAGTATATACATAAAAATGTACATAAAACATAAATTGTAAATCTTTTGGTAGTAAGTCACATCAATATACCTATGATAAAATATAATTTAAAGAAAATAAATGTTTGATTCACCTCTTTTAATATAAATTAAGGTACTGAAGTACAAATGTCATTCCACTTTCATCGGTGGTACAAGATCTCATCATCACAACATTAATGGAATCCCAAGAATGGCGAATTTTTTTCAAAAATAGACGAAAGTCACTGAACCTTCCTATGGATCTTTTTATATAGTCTAATTCTTTTACTTGTTTGTGCTAGAAGCAAGACCAGAAATATCGTTGGGACCATGAACGACATTTCAGAAAAATTTGAACAATTAGGTAAAAAAAAGAAAGAACATTAGGTATTCGCCAAGGTTGTAGCTTAAGCCCGCTACTGTTCGTGATAGTTTTAGACAGGGCACTTAGAAAGGCTAAAGTAAGGATGAGGCAGTTCCAGTTAGGACACCGAAAACTGCAACCGACAAGATTCTCTGTGCTGGCATTCGCTGTCGACCTAGTCTTGCTAGCTGCCAACGATCGAGACCTCCAATCCAACATCAACATCCTCCAGCAAGAAATAGCCACGATAAACATGAAGATTAACCCGGGGAAAGCTAAATGCATGAGAATAAGGAAGAAGCCCCGCCGAATAATGAGGGTGATGAGAGCAAGTGGTGAGAGATTGGGGCAGGTAGATAATTTTCAGTATCTGGGTGCTCATCTCAATGAAATTGGTTATGTTGATGGAGAAGCGAGTGAAAGAATCGGGGCAGCGGGCAGAGTGTTCTATCTGCTCCGTAGGGGATTTCTGGGCAGAAGAGAGATAACGAAGCGAACTAAAGTAGCAGTTTACAAATCGACATTTCTCCCTATCCTTTCCTACTCCTCTGAATCCTGGACCCTCACCTTGAAACACAAAAGCGGAATTCAAACCATGGAGATGCGATACCTTCGGAAGATCTAAGGAAGGTCAGAAGAGATAAGGTCCGGAACGCCACTATACGAACGAACCTCGAGGTCAAACCGGCTGAAAATATCCTAGAGGAGCAGAAGCTAAGATGGTTCGGTCATCTTCTTAGAATGGATCAAGAGAGAACAGCCAGGAAGTTATACGTCACTGCATAACACCCTGCAACAAGACCAATTTTCATACTTAAATTTGTTGTCTATGACCTTATTTTTCTCCTCCTTGTTACGGCGGCCTCCCTGGCGCGGGTCCTCTTCTTGTGAGGTTAAAGTGTGCGAGTCCAATGGCTTCTTTCCACCCGTGCACAAATTCTTCGTAGTACGGGTAGTTTTCTTCCGTAACTAGCTGAGCGAAATCGGACTCTGTGAGAACATAGAGAACAGTCTTCCTCATCAATTTGGTCCCTAGCGATTCAAAGGCGATGCAGTTTATGATAATGTGCTCAGCAGTCTCCGGGATCTCACAGCTAGGGCATAGGAGATCGATACCTTTTCCAAATCCATGGAGCTTGTTAACAACAGCTTTCTTGTCTGTGCGGTCACGTCCACAGGCGGATCTACGGGGTGGAGAGGGGAGCTTTCGGGCTGAAGCCCTCCCCCAAAATGGTAAAATATAACCATGTTTTACAGAAAAAAATATTAAAGTATTCTTGTTCCTGTAATTACATTCAATAAGACCTCAGGAACCACTTAAACACCATTTCATATAAGTAGTTAATTTCTTTCTTTTTTCAAATTAATTATCGTTATATGTATATGAAAAAAAAAATCTTTCGGGCTGAGGCCCCCCTAAAATTAAATCCTGGATCCGTGGTCACGTCAAATCTATAAGGTGCTTTAATTTCTGCATTTCAAATTTGTATTAATTTACTGGTAGCCGTGGTGCTAGGACCAAAAAAGAATACTCATTTCAAGAGAAGGTTTGAATGTGGATTATGAAAATTAAAAATTGATATTAATCTAAATAAAATAAGCGTCGTCTGCTATTGATATCCAAAGCTGTTTCTTAAAAAAATGGCGGCCGTTTAAATAAATCCAAATTTACCATAAAACACCCTCATCGCTGGCCTGATGAATCTTTGGTAAACGAATCTTTCTAATAAAAGGTGTTGTTTTTAGCCGTCTGCCTTTTCTGTGCCCTTCCTTCATAACTACCCAATGGTAGCACTCTAATGATATGTCTACATTAAGAGATCACGGTGCCATCTTCTTTTCAGACGCCTAGGAGGGTTATCATAAATTGAAGAGGAAGCAAGGTTAGAAACAAGAGGGTTGGGATGATTGAGAAGTTTGTTATGGAAGGATAGGTATCTGGATTGGGCCTAATCTGAAACATAAAAAAACATTAAGGTCATTATGGATGGTTTTATTTGTAACAAAGTAGGGAGCATTGAGGATTTTACGAAGGATTTTGGATTATAAGGATTGGATACGAGAGGAATTCGATGGTTTAGTGGAGCCCATAGCTGAACTCCGTAAGTCCAAATTATTATACTCAAGTACATGAGTCTTTCTAATTAATTGGAATTTTATAACGTTTGTCTAGTAAGTGCTGAAGTAATCGGAAACGTCGAGCGGTTTCTTGTCGTTTCAGTCTGGTATGAGGATTCCAAGCTAGACGTTTGTTCAGGTGGAGTCCTAGGTAGCGGATTTGCTCAACAGAGATAAGTGGATTATTGTTAAAGGAATCTGTATGGCAGAAAGTCATAGTTTTACGACGAAGGTGATTTGATGGGATTTATTTTAAATCTTCAGTTTTGACACCATTCTTCAAGATTTATGATGTGTGAATAGGTTGGGATGTCAGCTGTATAAACTGTATAAAGGATAGGACCTAGGATACTAAAGGAACACCAGCGGACTTGCATTGACTGACTAAATTTAAATATTTGCGACATTGTGATAATGTATTCGCCATTTATACTTTTAATGAATGTGTGTTATAAAAGTTAGCAATCGAATAATGGTTATTTCCTTCAAATCAAATAATTTCTTGTAATAAAATTATTAGGGCTCAGAGATGGGTGAATTTTAATGTCTAAAATTGCAAAGTTTCAATTTGAATTGGTTTGTAGATTGTTGCGGTCTAAGATAGGCAAACGATGTTATTTTTAACATGCATTGTAGTTAAAATTTCAATGCTCCTATGATTGGTGAATAACATAGCCTCAAAGTAAGGAGGATGAAGATATGAAGGGGTCGGATAACGGTTTCAATCATCTTCCACCATTCACTGCCGTATTACAAGAATGGTGTTAATCAAGCTTATTTTGTTTTATAGGACAATTTTTTGTTCTTCTATGTTGAGTATAGTTGAATGAATTTACACACACCAATTTAAGATGACTTGGAATTTAAATTTAGGCACTGCGTGTTTCAAACTATTTTCAAATTAATCAGGAGCACACAATTATAGTTATAGTTGAACTTTGAACCTATTGGCTAACCCGTTTTTTTGCTTTGTAAGAGCACCTAAGGAATTTGAATATAAATAGAAAAAAAAATAGTAACTAGAAGAAAATTATTAAAAACAACAAAACTATAAATTTGATTTCAACACTAAACACTATTTAGTGTTTAAATAATTTTTTTTTTTACACCAGGTACCAATGGTGGATGAATATATCAACATGTCAGGAACCGAATTCGAGAACAGCAGTTGCAGTTATCGATTTTTATGATTATTTGGATTTAACGTTGTATGCTTCTCCGCTCTAGCCGGATTTGAATTTTATTATGGAAGAGGAGGAAGTAAAAAGTAAATACACAGTTACGTGCGCTGCGGATTATTTCTCAAAAAGCGGTTTTAAGAGCGGATAACTAAAAATTAATAAAAAATATATAACCAGGTTTTTTAATCAAATTAACCTGGATTTCTTGTAGTTCTGTCGCTGAAATTTCTATTTTTTGCTAATTTTATTTCATAGAAACATAGAAAATTGACGAAATGTTCTCCTGCAAACGTATCACTTTTTGAGATAAATTTTCCCGAAAAAAACAAAACAACGAAAGCTCTGTTAGCAGAAAATTCTGTTGTCAGTCAGTCACTCCTCTGTGGTGTTTCTGCTCGTCTGTTCTGGTCTTTTGCTGCTGTTCTGGCCTAGAAACGCTAAAAAACTAAAAATATATATGTACACGAAGACTTTAAACCTATCAATATTTTCCAAAATCGTAAAGCTTCCCCAAAAAAATATTTGTAGCTCAAATCTTCCTCTCCACCAAAAACAAAAAATTTACAAAAGGAAGAAAGAGGACAATTGTCCTCCTCAAATTGGTCAAGAATAAAAAAAACCTGAAGATATACCGTCTTAGTGGAGGTCGGGCAAAAACAATTGAGGCTAATGCAAAAAGGACGCATTCGAGAGAGAGATATAGGCTGGCAAAGGTTTTTGACACTGAAAATATCGATGCTGCCTAACTCCTCTTATTTCTTTACACCAACTACTGTTTGTTACGCTCGCCGCGCGTGTGTGTGTGAAAACCTACGCTTTGTTCCCACTCCCACTACCATCGCCACACACTCTCAATGACATAAATTTTATTTTAATGCTAATATTTGGGTCACATTTTGTATTGAAAATTGGTTATATTGTTAATAATTAAGAGAGCATGTAACTGTGTATCTAAGATAGGGCTTGAGGTCCCAAGACAATAAAGAATTGACCATCCAGTGTGGTTGGAACTAAAGTTGATGAATTCTTTTTCTCCAGAGGAATAATCATGGTTCATTTTCAGTTCATTCATCTTCAGTGACCAGTAACATATTATGTTTGTCGACTACTGGTGGCAAACAATCAATAAAAGGTTTCTTCCTTCCCTATTTTGGTCAATTGAGAAAAAGTATGCATTGAACCATCATAATTTGTTCTGACATAAAACTAATGGTACTTATAATTTTAATTAAAGTTTGGTTCTAGGTATTCGTTGCATGGCCGAAAGAGCTCAAGACGATCAAGGAATAGAATAAAAAAAAAATGTTCAAGGTATTAATCAAGACAAAAAATAAAATATCTCATTGATATATCAATGCGCTTTACTTACTGATTACAAAAAAATACAAATACACAAAACAACTAATCTAAAAACTTTATTTAATACTATTTCTTGTTTAATCTTACATAACACATGTCCTTTAACATCATTTTTTGGGGTAAGTACTTTTCCTTTGTAACCATTTAACCATAAACATATTTTGATGGTTATTGTTGAACATTTGTTATGTAATGATAAAATATTTTAATATCTTTCCTACTTAGTCGGCGATGATATTCACTACCACACGAAAACTCCATGATATTTAATATCATAAAACTTGTCAGACTGTTATCATTTTTAATTATTAATTATGAAATAAATTTTCAATTTTAGAAAAGTATTTTTTTCTTGTAAAAATACATATTTAGTAGACATTGATAATGAGTCATTAAAGTTTTCGTCTGGTAGTGATCGATTTTGACATGATTCATTTAAAAATGAACACCGGTATACTATATAAAGCTTAACGTTTGTATACATAAATAATTGTTTTTGTAAAAGCATTTCACGTTAAATACACGAATTATTCTATTATCACCTTATAATACTGCTTGATACGCCATAGAATTGTGGGAGATCCATGTCAGGATTTGATAAACTGATACAATTTTTAAAGGAAAAATAAGAGAGCTAGAATTGTCATGTTAAGTAGGTTCCACGTTTCTTCCCTTGATCCATTTCACTTTTTCTTTACTAAATATATTTATCTTTTGTTTATTGATAATTAGAAATATCATGACTTTGGTCAGTAATAATGTTTTGAGATAAAATCTAGAGACATATTCTCCCACAAGTTCTAAAACTTACGTCCTTAAAAACTAGCTGACAGTTCATTTACTTATGATAATTATATTTACAATATCTACAAATTCGTACAACCCAATTGAATATTTGATAGTTGTATCGAGTGTAATTACGAAGATTTACTTCATTAACTATCGAATTTGGACGACAAATATTTTATGAAGGATAATCTATGAATTATCGAAGGTTGTGATTTGGCAAATGCTGAACTGCGTCCTTCCCTTACAAGGGTGCTCGGCCCAGGTTCCTTCGTCGGACAGGGACCAGCAGTTCCTCCTCGGGTCCTTCCTCATCTCCTGGGACCCAGCTGGAAACCACCCCGTCTCCGAAACCCTTCTACCTGTAATAGCAAACAAACACAATTAGATTAAACCAACAGAAATAGTTTTATGGTTGTATGATGGCTGATGAGGTATTTGTACGGTCTAAATAAAGATATTTAGTATTTAAATTTAAATTTCTATAAAATTTGAAAAAATTGAGCGTTTTCATGGAAAAATGAACAATCAATTGAGTCAAATTCAGTTAGGTATAAGGACGCTAGAAACACAATCCTTACTAGAAAGTTTCAATGGAGGTGGCACTACAATTTTGCTAGTTAGTTGGATACTGGTAGGTGAAGAGGCAACGCAGGTATTGAATTAGATCTTCAAATAAATGTGGAATTTAATAAACGGTAAATCAAATGGCAAGTTAGAGCGTTGTCCATTTAACATTCTCGAGTCTGGCAAAGCCAGTACAAACCCGGTGAGTGACATAAAATTTATTTCTTGGTGAACCTACAGATTGAATCTCGAACTCCCCACTATGCTTAGAATAAATATGGTAACTCTAGAACATATGCCGGAAATGGCGTAGTAAGCGTTAAAAATTTAAAGATAAAAGTATTGATGGGACTATTTCCATATATGAAGAGAACTTTAAAAACTGTATTGAAAGAAAAGTAAGGTTAACAAAATAGATAAATACTTTACGGTTGTGATACTAGAATAAATTTACATGATAATCTTTCTGCCTATTCGTCTGTAAGGTTGAAATGACACTACTTACTTTGAATCAACGACATCGCTTAAAGGTTTTCTAAAAGTAAGCATTATATCAAATATTTGGCTCAAAGAACAAATTATCAACATGAAAATTTAGAAGAGAACAAAAGAGGGATATTCATTGTGCCATAAATACTTCAACAAAAACTCCATAATTTGGAACTTACCATCAGAGAGGAGAGGATTTCCTTCCCATCTACTGTCGGTAGCTCCTACCCAAGCGAATTGGGACTGCGATCCACTCAGCATTTCCGCCGCAAGGCTGTTAATTCTCTTGTCTGTCAGGGCTACCAACCTTCCATTCTTACTCCGGCAGAGAGCTTCTGCCCCCGCGTAATCCGTCAATTCCTCTACCAGCTTTAAGCAGGAGTCGCTCTCTTCATGGTATCTGTATCCGTTCTCGGTAACTAAAATCATATCAATAACAAGCTATAAATTTATGCGAATGCCACATTTTTTTTTTAAATTTATATAAATAGAAATTACTTTAGTAAAACATGTTACATAATCTGTTTTCACCTAAAATTTGTCATGGTCGGAATGATTAGGAAAAGAACGATAAATTTGATTCTAACAATCAATAGATAACTGAGATTTTTAAATTGACAAATTACTTTAGGACTTAAAGATATATCTCCTTGTAGTTTATTGGTACTCCTTTATTATCAATTTGACCTAAATTTACAACTCCCTTCCTCTCAAGATCTCTTCTCAACAGATTTAATCGACTATTGTACATAATATCCCACTAATTAGGCAGTCTTATTCCATACTAAAGTATGGAATAAAATTCTAAATGTTATCAAAAGGTTTATTCAAGAAAAATTTTGTGCTAAATATACATTATACTTTCGTACATCATGTGTTCAAAAGTGTAAGGGCATCGATTACATTTCACACAAATCGTAAAATTGTGAGTAGGCTCAAGTGTCATTTCAATACCAAAAAATGCAACTTCTAACAAAATACGTTTGACTTCAAAGGATATCTGTATCAGGTCAAGGTATATTCGACAACCATTGAAATTAAATTCTCAAGGTGAGATTTAAACGGTTGCACTAATTATCCGAAGCTGGCCAAACTTGCGTCATTCGAATAGCTCTTTGTAGACTTTGGTTTTAAAGTAGTTGTCTAAGATATATATATATATATATATATATATATATATATATATATATATATATATATATATATATATATATTGATATAATATATATGATTATATGATTATATGCTATATGATTATATGATTATATGCTAGATTAATTAAAATAATAATTTAAATCGATCTTTGACGTTTATCGATTCGATTAAAAATAATGATCACTCACTGAGTGATACGGTTTAACACAAATAATAATGATTAAGTCGTGATCAAAAACATTTCGACCATAAAATAAAAATCACCGTTTACACACAAATTAAATAAAATATTAATATGTATGCATACGTTATTAATGTACACATTTTGTAATATTATATTTTACAAATAGCTTTTATTGTGCACTATATATAAATGTAAGATAAAAATTAATTGGGAAATAAAAATGTTCTGTTGCTAATAGTTGACAACAATATTCTCCACCTACTACTCCAGACTCAAAATATATCGTAGAGAATACAAAACATTTATACTTCTCATTTCAAAAAGTATTAATCAAGAATTATTATTATTGTTAATTGTAAAATATTTGTTCAAAAATAACGATCAGGATATGATTTTTATTACTTATGATCAAAAATAAAAATCTCTCTTAATATAAAACATCAAATGATTTTTAAAAATTTTGATGAGATTTGATTTTTATTTATTTATTTTTTTTAATCGATATCAAACCCTGTCTATCCCATATATCAGTATCTCTAAAGAAATCAATGATTGCGATATCGGATTTTTTTTCTTTTTTTTTTTTTAAGATGAGATAAAGTACTTACTCAAAGGTCTCTTGGAGAAGTGCAGATGCGATGTCGAATTGTAAACAATCAAAGATGGGCTGCACCTTGAAAAAATTCTGCATTTGTTTGTTTCCTTATTGAAGTTAGCAGAATCACAAGCGGGCTGGGATTTGCAGAGAGAGGCGCAGGCTTTTCCATTCTTTGCGAGGATGGTGTATCCTGGACCTTTCACCTTAGCCCTCGTCACAACAAGAGTCGAAGTTGTCGCAAAAGATAGCGACAGGATCAGCAAGCAAGAAGCAAGCAGCATATCTGGTTCAGAAATATTTAATGATTCCTGTAATAAATAATAAAACTTATACCATATGAATCAGATTTTAAATCCTACTATATTCTTTAAATATTTTTAACAAGGATCACCAATAAACCACTTGGAGAAATAGAGTAATACGAATAAAAAAGTATGTAACACTACAATATATATATATATATATATATATATATATATATATTATATATATATATATATATATATATATATATATATATATATATATATATAAAACTTAAGATATTAAATTATAGACGGATAATAGGTCATGGAAAACCACCATTCCTATAGAGGTACAGTTTATAAAAAAATATGTTGATGATACGATATTGAGTGTTCCCACCGCCCATTTAAACAATATTTTGGAATATTTTAATGTAGATCCACACATAAAATACAAAAATCCACCATTCCCATAGAGGTACAGTTTATAAAAAAATATGTTGATGATACGATATTGAGTGTTTCCACCGCCCATTTAAATAATATTGTGGAATATTTTAATGTAGATCCACACATAAAATAAAAATAAAATAATTGCATGACCTATTATCCGACTATAATTCATATCTTAAGTTATAATATATAAAGGTCGAATTATAAAAAAACATTGTAATATACATATATAAGAAGTGTTATCATTTACATGTAGGAATATTCCACAATACTATATCAAAGACATTAGTTTAGTTATTTTTAATTAAGATTTTTCTATAATCATATCACCATGTTTTAAGATATTAGTGTTTCCCAAATGAATTTATCGTCATATTTCCTCTTAAGTTACAAGTAGTGTTGCCCAAAATCGGTCTCGGTTTGGCACTTTGCACGACCAAGACCAAGACCGTCAAACTGTTGCATGACCAACAGCAAGACTGGTAACAAAAAATCCAGTTTTTGAATAAAAATTAAGGCAAAATAGTTACTAATACTTAAAAATTTTAGTTGCTACATGTAAAGAATTGGTATAACCAATTTACTTTTCTAATTTTTCATTCGAGCTTAGTTAGGTTATATCTATTTTTTTAGATTTTTATTTATATCTAATTTTATTATTTTTAGTAAAAATAATATCTCTATGGTAATAAGCTAATAAGTAACTGCAAGACTCTTGCGCAAGACCAAAACTAAGAAACTGAGTGCACAAGACAAAGACTCGTCTTGGTCTTGCATTTGGACAATACTAGTTACAAGATAGAAATACTATTTCAGTATTATAAAATAAAACTTTTAGCTACATATTTATTGACATGAATTAAAGTGCTTGATTTTTTAGTTATTTGTGATTGAAAACTTAAATAAAGGGTAGATAAGAAAACAATAATTATCAATTAATTAATTGATCAGATTGATGTTTTGGAATGTACGTATTTTAGTGAGAATGACGGGTGGATACTGGTATCCATTAAATTTTAACTGAAGCTTTTAATAGAAAAGGTTTTTTCCTTAACAGTGAAATAGAAAAATGCAAACTGATCTTTTTTTTCAGTTAATGTTTTTATACGTTGGCTTATTTTCAAACGTTTGAAGATTAGATAGATTTCAAACACTTGAAAATTATTAGCTACTACTGTTGCCCAAAATCGGTCTTGGTCTTGCACTTTGCAAGACCAAGACCATGACCATGACTGAGTTGGCAAGACAAAGACTCTTCTCGGTCTAGCATTTGGACACACTATTAGCTACCAAATTAATTGCTCTTAAATGAACGGATTGTTGTATTAATATTGAAAAATGTTTTAGAAATGACATAATCGTAACATATATTATCGTCTTGCAAGATTCTGTAACGGGCTCCATATCAAAAAGGACATTATTGGCATTTATATTGGTATCTACTAATAATAAATTAATCGTATAAATAATTAAGAATATTCTTAAAGCAGTCTTGAGCTGAAAAAATGAAAATTCACGAGTTTATTTAGTTTTTAAATAAAAATATTTTCCATAGGTTTGACGACAGTGTCGCTAAATAAGAATTACGGAGAAATGGGAACGATTTTGAAGGCAACAAAGATTTTCCAAAGTTCACTTATCTCATTAATATAACTGATAATCTATTTCAGTAAATAGTTTGTAATCAGGCCTTTAAACATGATGTTGACCTATTATTTGACCTTATTCCTTCAGAGGGATGTCGAGCCATTGATTGTTGTTTTCAAAACTTCAACTAAGTAATTTTTCTCACTGACGAGTTATTAAAATTAGAAAAGAAAGATGTGATTTTTTTTTTTTATTTAGCGGAAAATCAAACAGTAGGTATTTCACTAAGCTACTGAAATGTTTTATGTTTTGTTTTTTATTGCTCTAATAATAAACAAGAGAATTAATAACTAACTAAGATTCCATTGACAGATATTTAGTAATCAGCCATACTGGAATTCGAACCCGGAAAAAAATGATATTCTAGTTGTTGAAGATTAAGATAAATAATTAGTAACAACATCGTTAAGAACTGTTGAATAACAAATTGGTGGAGATCATTTTCATTATAAATAATTAATTAATCATTGCATTAACATTAAACTATATATGCTTGATGATTGTTTTTAATAGAAATATTAAACTCTTTTCACTTATCAATAAATACATATTATTATCATATAACTAAAATGCCGAATACCTAAAACGTAGTTTTTCACTTATACCACTTTTGCATTCAACGGTACGGTAATATTTTACATTTAAAAAAATATATTTAAGTACGTAGTATAAATAGTATGCAAAAGAAGATAAATAGAATGATTTTATTAGCTAAGTAAAAGAAGTACTATAGCGGTAAAGAGTTTAGAAAAAAAAATTTACGATGATTTTTTTTAATGGATTACTTGTTTATTGATAAATATTACAATCTGTCTCAATAAAGGACATTTATAATTCAGAAAGTTCAGAGAGCACATTCACACCATATTTACAAAATCAAAATATAAATAATAGTAATAATAAAATTAAAATGAACATCTTAGACGTAGGCATACCTATTTACACTATTTACAATTGGTCATGGTAACTTCGAACCAGACTTGTCTCACCACTTGTGGAGGGAAAAGCGAGGCTTCAGGAGATCCCTGCGCTTCTCCTTCAACTACTTCACTGGTATTAAAAGCCAGTGGAGGCTGAGTAAGGGCGCTACAACCACAGACACTCATGACTTGAGTGGATAATCTGGCCATTGCCAGAACTCCAATATATACATGTTACAAAAGATCAGGGGGCCACTGCCATTTTAACCTGCGAGGAGGATTGTAGGGATGGGTGGTGCTAGATAGGGACTGTACAACGGGATTAGGGCGATGGAAAAGGTTCTGATGAAATTTGAAGAATTTGTTTGGGATAAGATCAAGAATAAATGGAATATCAAGTTCATTATGCAGAGTTTTATTGGTGACATAGAAGGGGCATCGATTATTGTTCGGAGGACTTTAGACTGGAAGGATTGAATGCGTTTGATGTTAGAAAATTTGGTTGTCCCCCATAGTTCTAGTCCGTAGGTCCAGATTTACCATGATTAGTATTTTTAATCCAAAAACAAAGTTATCATTTTTCAATATCTTATCTCTATATCTTTTTCACCGAAAACGATTTCAGTTAAACTTCAGAAGTACGTAAATGGAACCCAAAGTATGAGAAAAAAATATAAAGGAAGAAGTATTGACAACGTAGTACAAGAAGACAAAGAAGTACAAGCTTACAACAACCTTGATCAATAAAATGACAGAATAAAAAGCAAAAAAAAAAACAAGTATAAAGAATATAAAGCAAGTTTCGTTGTTTTGTTTGTCGCAGTATGAAGTGTACAACGTGATATATGAGATTGCTTATTTTGCATACTTGTTTATGTATCTTTCACTCTGCGGCTGTGCAACACTTGAGGTGTGGTACGAATGGTTCCTAACAGCTGTAAGCTCTAGTTTATTTGTTCTGAAGGCAGTCTTTCACAAGTGGGCCACTGGTAAATTGAGGCTTTCTTCGAAGGCAGGCATACGTGATATCGTCCATGCACTCGAATCCCTCACATCAGGACCAATACAGGCTACACAAAGCACTAGCTAACATTAATGCAGTGGTTTCCACTTTCATCACTATATTTCAATAATTAATAATTTAATAAAAATAATTTGCCACGTCCATACATTCATACCGGTTGAAAGGAAGATAGTAACATTTGAAAAAAACATTTATTTTTAAGTTTAATAAAATAGCAATAGTTAATTCAAAGGGAACATGTTTTTGTTTTAGCTATTATTCATATTTAACCGATGAGATTTCGTTTTTATAGAACATTTTTATTATTTTATAAAAATCTTGTTAAAATCCAGCCGACAACATTTTCCCATTTTGATTATTTTCAAATTAAAGTTTTGGTATTATAATTAATTTAAGAATAATATTTTTTTTTCATTAGTTAAATCATCTGTGGCTAAACTGTTCTAGATCGAAAATATTTTACCATATGATAAACTAGAATCATGAAAAACTGTTCCTCGTATGTTCTTTTAAAATTACAATCGTAAAAATAATTTATACAAAAAATCATTATTAAATAATCCATAGCAAATCGATATGAATTGCCAAAAAGAATATATAACCTCAACCTTTATGTTTTTGTAAAAAATAAAGATGGTGATCGATATGAACGTTTTGAAAAGTTATTACACCTAAGTACGTGGCTTGAAATTTTGAGTTATTTTAATATATTATGTAGAATAATTTGACTATCACTTATTGGGCCAAACAAACACATACGATAAGATGGTAACCAGTTAGAGTATTAATGAATATAAAAAGATCGATTATTTTTATTGTTGTAATATAATCATTGAAGTTCTCCAAAAACAATAGTCCGTGGTACACGTAAATAGTTTAATCTCATCGTAACCTACAACTATTTTATTTACGAAAATTCGTGGAAATGGGACGTTTTCAATCTGGAGGGACACAAGCTTTGTTTATTTAATTAGGTACTAAAAACTCGTAAATACTCACTTACTTTCTACTTGGATCGTAAGATAAATTGATTACAAAATCGAGAAAAAATGTGACCTACAAAAATATTGGACCGTTTGTCCTGTACAACATTGTCCTTTTTAAAAAATGGGGGTGTAGGTCACGCCAAACTGTTCAATACTTTTGAAGGCCACTTTTTTTCTCGACTTTGTGATCGAATTATCTTACGATCAAAGTAGAAAGCAAATGTGTATTTACGAGTTTTTAGTACCTAATAAAATAGAGAAAGTTTGCCTCCTTCCAGATTGAAAACGCCCCAATTCCAAGACTTTTGGTAAATGAAATAGTTGTTGGTTACGATGAGATTAAACTATTTACGAAGTTTCAGTTTCATATTAATAATTCCATTAAAAGGGGGTCAGTATCACGGACTATAAGTCATTTGATGTGTTAGTTAACGACATTAAAAAATATATTTTCTATCCCGAATGATTTCTAAAAAAGGAGGACCTCGGTCAAATGTTTTTGGGAATGTTCCAAAAAATTCGTGATCGATGATCATTATAACTTAAGGGCATTATGATTAGCGGTGTTCGATCCAACTAAAACATGTCACGCCATGTTTTTTTTTTTTTAAATTATCGTTGTATAAGTGAACTTATGCAATTATTTAAATACCAGCGCAGTGAGGGTATCGGAGATCAAGGATTGCACATGTCAGGGCCTGCTGCTCTGTTCCCATGGTCTGATAGCAATCCCAGGCTTTCTGGAAATCATGTCCTACGGGGATCCGTTTTTTGTTTTTTTTCTAGCTGAGCTTCAAGCCACCGTATCCCATTTCCTATATCGTTAGATTTGTTCCAGCTCGTTTCACTATTTTTATTATTATTTTTTCTTCCCTTCTCCTAGGTTCCGATGTGCTACTTTTTATAAAATAGGATGCTGTTTTTCATTTTTTTTTTCCTTTTTAAGTCTTTTTATATTCTGAAATATCATTAAAACGATTTGGTTTTTAAATTTGTTTCATTATTTGTCAAAGTTATCTTTATAGTCAGTGCTAAATTAAAAATTATATGATATTAAAATAAATTTATAAATGTAAATAAACCATATTAGTTGAAAATAAATTTATGTTTTTAACTTTTACGTAGAAAAAGACCGTATCACCAGAGAAAAAACATAATGAAGGTCATGCATGGTATGAGTTAAAGTAGGTAAGCAAACTCCGAACCTCCATCCTTCTTGAAAACATTATAAACTTTTATTTTATATCTGAATTAAATTTATGGAAATGTATTCAGGACAGATGGGACTTCCGCTGATATTTAAAGTCTCAAGGTTCTTTTCTAGTGCTTCGAGTCTTTATAGGTGATGTAACCAATGATTCTTGGGACAATAAGAGTAGTTAAATTGTGTTTTGATAATTTTGCTAGTATTTGGTAGTATAAATTTTTCTTAAACTGTGCAAAACGAATTATTCGATCCAAAACTTAATCAAAAGTAAATTTTTCATTTCGTAACGGTTTGTATTCTAAATACGCTTCATTCGTGTGCACATGGAAAATATTTGTAAAGTAATTCTAGAAATTATCACAGAAGACTATTTCTCATGGACGTATAAATGGGTACATATAATATCGTTATATGTTTTAGGATTTTAAAATAACAATTCTCTAATTGAACTTCTTTATTAAGTTTGATTTCCTTGTTATAAGTCCGAAAGAGGTTGAGTTATTAAGAACTATTTCACATTTTTTAATCGTGATTTTAATCTAAAGAATGAACGAAAGATATACATATATATTTTTAATAAGTGACAACAGAACTTGTTCATATATTTAATCTGATTTTTTTTTTTTTTATAAACTTTGTAAAGTTATAAAGTGGCAGAAATAAACAATAACTGGGAAATATTTTTATTATTTATTGATTTCGTTTTTAGTTTTATAATAACATTCCTCTCCATTTCAAGATGTATATAGTTGATTCATAACAATACACACTACATTTTTTACTTTAATAAGGCATAGTTATTTTTAATACCGAAAAATAAATCTGTCTGAATTTTTTGTTTGACCGTTTATATTTTTGTGAAGAAAAAATTTAAATTGACCATTAAAGGAGCTCTTTACCGCTAAAAAATTTAAATGATTGCGGAATGATAGTAAATAACCTACAAATATTACTTAACGTGTGATGGATTATCGAAATATTTATACCATGTATGATTTCAAAAAATAAAGATTTTATGGTCAGTTCCATAAAATAACATAACTTGCCATAAAATAATTTATTAAATATTTGAAGGATTCCCAAAATAATTCCTAAATAGATCTTCTCAAGGAAATCTCTTATTAATACTTGTTGAAAGATATAAGACCTTTCATATTATTGCCTATTAAATTATTGCTAATATTTTGTGTTAGATATTCCAAATAAAATTATGATAAACAACGACATGTTCTTAAATTTTATTTTATTCATATAAATTTCTAAATGTATGTCTCTCTGCATTTGTAGTATACGGTTCTTTATTAATTATCAATATAAGGACTAATAATTATTAGTGTCATTTAATGTTATATTGAGTTTTTCTTTTTTTTTTGCATTTGGAGCAACATATGAACTAATAACGGTGCCGGTTCGACCTCGTTATGGTATGTTTGAAATTAGTCCAAGCAAATTTCTTGGAAAGATTTACGTATCAGTTATTTCATTATTTATTTATTTTATTTTTTTAAGAAAAGGCAGTACATGCTGCAATTCACTCCTGGTGAAGTGTTTTTCTTTTGGGGTAAGCGAAGAAAAAATGAATTTTACATATAATAAACATGTTGCTGCAAATTAATAAATAACTTTCCTTTAATGAGGAGGAAAATACAAACTTTTTTTTATGTTGATTTTAATATAAATCATTGTTGTATGTGGGTTGTATTTAAAAAATGGGGCTTAGCTAAACATAATATTTCGGGGACTGGGGTAGCGGAATGAGCTAGGCTAATACTTGTATGCGAAATTTGCGTTGCCTGACAACGTGATAAATCAGAGATTTCGAGTTCCAATTCCCGTACCCGGACACTTTTAACTCTTCATTGATACCCCGCCCTCTCCACTGACCCGAGAAAAAACCCGTATAGTCAAAAAGGGAGAAAAACAAATTCATAAATTATAAAGCTTATCGTTTCACCCTATCACCCTAGACTTAACTTATAGTTTAGGGATCCATTAAGATAGGAAAGTTCCTCCTTATTTCTAATGTAATCTGAAATAAATGTTAAGAAGATTTTAAGGCTATTGTTTTAAATATCAATTCAAAATAATTTGTTTAAATTAATGATAAATTAATGGAAATAATGGTTATTCTCTTCTAAATTGCGACTTATGATAAAAATATAAAATAATATGTCTTGTATGTTTTCGAATACATCATAGATATGTCAGTTCCAAAAGTTACTTGACCCATTACTGTCCATTCGAGAAAAACATGCTAACTTGTTCTCATTTAATTTTTTTTTTACTCATTATATTTTTTTAATCTTTAAATACAACAGAGATAATTAGAGGCATGGCATAGACGCATTCTCTTTAAATACCTCTAAAACCCTTTAAATTTAAACTAAAATAAAAATAAACTTAAAAATACCCAAAATAGTACCTTTTAGAACTGCAAACCGTTTATTTTATTTTATTGTATAACATAAAAAAATATATAAATCTAGTATTAAATAGTAAATAACTGACAGTTTGCTATTTAAGAGTAAATAACAACACCTCTTTTAATTGTGCAATTTAAGATATTTTACTGAGATAATTATAAATGATTTAATATAGGTATTTAATGAATATTATGGACTATTTCTCTCTCTATTCGAAAGTGTTATCGTCTGTTAAGGACCTCGACTACAATATTTCTCTAATGTTTAATACTGAACATTCTGTAATGGAAAATAAATTTGTTGTTTTATTTTTTACATTATTTTTATGAGAGCAGTTTTTTTAACGACATGGTAATGAAATAATGAATTAAATGGTCTAATGATGTTAAAATAATATCGTGTCTTCGCTTACCGTCACTTTGATCAAGTGTATATCATCTAAGGCACGTTATACTGGTCTACTGGGGGTGTGGAGGAGGCACTTGTTGATATATAGGAGGGTGGGGAGTGCGCGCGCAAGCCCACGCTCTCCGCGCCTGATTCAACGCTCCTTGCCCTTATCAGCGATGATGGGACAGATGTTCCTCGCTGCTGATGCCAGCTTGGGAACAACGTTATGACATATGAGCCTTCGTAATTGGGCTAATAGCTCTTTCATGACTGGAAATACCAAAAAAAAACTTTGGAGGAAAATCCGACGTTTCCGAGAATAGGGAATGTCCAATAGGAAGTTTCCGCGAAAAAAAAAATAAATACATGCATTTACCTTGATTTATGGGAAAGCATAAATTTTGTCAACTAGAAGTGTTCCTAGTGTATTTCTTGTGTATCAGTTCAGATAAATTGGTTTCTATTTTCTCGACTGTTAAATGGAACCCCTTAAACAAAAAAAAAAAAAAAAAAAAAAAAAAAAAAAAAAAATATATATATATATATATATATATATATAAACTTGACCAAACTTTATTAATTTTGTAATCAAATTTATTTATTTTTCTATATTTTATTTTATTGTTGTTATATATATATATATATATATATATATATATATATATATATATATATATATATATATATATATATAAAACACATCCGTTGATAATCTCAGGGTTTTACACCTTAAAGCTCTAACAAACATAAAAAAAAAAAATCTGACTAGACTGCTCTCATCATACTCTTCAGAAAAACAGGAAGCATTCAAATTTGATTCTCTCAAAATAAAACAATACAAAAGACAAAAATTTCAAACGCAATAGTAAAGAATTAATTAACATAGGAAACTACAATAAACGTGTAATGAATGAACAATCACGTCGAAAATATTAATGTATGCTAAAAGAAATTAATAAACTCATATTTACAAAGACTTTTTTTTTTTTTTGTTTCTTAATGTTATTTACAACTGTATAAAATAAATACATCTAGTAAATTTGAACATACGGATGTAATGACATGAAAACACTTGCTGAGTAATTACCAAATGGTAGTACTCTAATGATATCCCTACATTAGGCCATCTTCCTTTCAGACGCCTCGGAGGGTTATCAGATATTGAAGAGGAAGCAAGATTAGAAACGAGAGGGTTGGGATGATTCTGAAGTTTATTATGGAAGGATAGGTATCTGGATTAGGACAGATCTAAAACATAAGATTAAGGTCATAATGGATGGTTTTATTTGTAACAAAGTAGGGAGCATTGAGGATTTTACGAAGGATTTTGGATTGTAAGGATTGGATACGAGAGGAATTCGATGGTTTAGTGGAGCCCCATAGTTCAACTCCGTAAGTCCAAATAGGCCTTATTATAGTCATGTAATGAGTCTTTTGTAATTACTTGGAAGTTTAGAACGTTTGTCTAGTAAGTGCTGAAGTAATCGGAAACGTCGAGCGGTTTCTTGTCGTTTCAGCCTAGTATGAGGATGACAAAGCCTAAAATGAAAATATAAAATAACTGCTAATGAATCTATAATATTATAATATACACAATACAATCACAAATTGCCTACCGGAGACTACTTGAAAAACCATAAGGGTTTGAGAAAACCAAATAACTTCCACTACTCTACACCTCTAACTATTCTCACTCACTCTAATATTAAAGTTTGTTAAGTGTAGTTTGCTATTTATTGAATAATGGATGCCTTTGAGTATCAACTATTGGTGTGACGAGGAACCATTAATATACAGTGTGCCAACTTATTGCAATGTCAAAAATTTCCTTCTTCTTTCCTAATAGGGATCAGTACCACTAGCGGATCCAGGATTTAATTTTTGATGGGGTCTTCAGCCCGAAAGATTTTTTTTTCATATACATATAACTATAATTAATTTGGAAAAAAAATGAAGAAATTAATTACCTATATGAAATGATGTTTAAATGGTTCTTGAAGTCCTTTTAAATATAATTACACGAACAAGAATACTTTAAGAGATAGTTTTTAATATTTTTTTCTGTAAAACATGATTACATTTTACCATTTTTTGGGGGCTTCAGCCCGAAAGCCTCCTCCCTCCTCCCCCCTTCCCCCGCAGATCCGACTGTGATCATCACTCTAAATATATAAACTATCAGCAGGTCGTTCTGATGCACCGATACAGAAAAGTATGCGAATGTAGTTGATTGTTTATTGACTTCAACGAAATTATAATTTTGAAGTCACTTACTGAGCTATTAGCAACATCACCATAATGATAGGTGTGACCAGGGTACAAGGTTAGTAACGTTCTTCGGTCAGATCCTCTCAGAGAGTTAGCCAGTACTTTCAATAAATTTAGCCTTGCATTGGAAGGCACGACGGATGTGTTGTGATACAATAGGCTTCTTTTCGAAGTAGATTAATGTAATAAAGTTGATGATGTATCCTTATGTACATACATTTACGGTGACTTTGTTTCATCATTTTTAAGATTATAATGAAATATATAGTATTTTCTCCCAAATATTTGAATTATAACCATGACACTTTTAATTCATGATTTTTTTTCTTGCTTATTATTATCTTGTAATCAATTTTAAAACAATGCTCAAGTGTTTATTGAGAGTCAACTGAAGTTTAAGATATGAGTTCTCTTCAGTTTCAATACAGAAGTGTGACTCTTACTGTGGTACATATAAATAAATAATCAATATTTATTTTTGAATAATAAGTTACTGATTACAAAAATCTTTGTATTCATACAATATCCTTAAGTCTAGTTTTATCTTTATGCTTATTTTGTTCATTTTATCGCTCGTTAACTATTGCATTCAAGTATTTTTCATTATCATTAATTTTTTTTTCCTTCAAAATTATATATATCTGACTATGTATCAGTAAAATTTAGTTAGTATGGTCACTGATAACATTAGCTTTTTTTTTGAGGCACCAACACTTATATAAATACTTATACTATCAGTAGTTATCTGATTGTGATTATTTTCTCGCCAAAAATGTATCAAATGAAAAGTAATTTATCAATTATAGTCAGATATGAAAAAATCACAGGACAAACTCATATAAGCTTAAATTGACACTTTGACAAGTAAAAACAAAAGATTACCTGTCTTAGTGTATCGTGGAGGGTCTTAGGTGTTTGAAAGCAATCCTCTAAATCCAAGTGTTTGCTCATTGAATATGTTTTGAAGTAATGTACTGTCTCTAGTTGATTAATCTTATTTTTGCTGTTGAAGTGAGAGATACTGTATTCTGTCTGAACACAGTTAACCTCCTTATTAAATCTTGAATGGGTGGAACTTTAACTGATTATTTTTTTGCTGGTAGTTTATAGATTTAAAGCATACCAAGTTATGCCGGTATTTAACGTTTGGAATCTCCTAATGATGTACTCATTTATGGTAAAAATAGAGGAGGGGCATATATATATATATATATATATATATATATATATATATATATATATATATATATATATATATATATTACAATAAAGTTTTCTAATATTATATTATATTAGTTCAGGTTAATCTCCGGGTGATATAATATATTATTTCTCATATTTCATCTACACGTTCCAGGAAACTTCTAATGACTACATCATTCCCCCTCAGGGAGTTCCCTGGTACGCTGGTACGTAAGAACAGCATATCGGAAAGGAGATTATATAGTCTTCTGTCAGTACAACTAATAAATTTACATTACATTTAATGATCGTGACCTAAGTACAGATAAAGTAATCTATAATGGAAAGTATCATGGTTATAATTCATAAGTCTATTTTATAAATACAAAGATTTATGTGATCAGTAACTTTAAATCACTCATTACTTTTATAAATATTTCATATTGGGATATACGTCCCACAATAAGAGAACCTACCTCTTAAACTTCAGTTGATCCTCAATAAGCATCTGAACATTGTTATAAAATTGATTAAATAATCATAACAAGGAACAAAATGAAGTGATCTTTAATCGAAAGTGGCATGGGTAAAATTCAAATATCAGAGGAAAAAAGACAATATATTTTATTATAATTTTAAAACCGATGAAACAAAGTTAGTGTGTACATATAGTACATATTAACATATCGTCGGCGCCATGTTAAAGTAACGAATGTTAACCAGTCCAACGTTGCACATGCATTACTTTTACATGGTGCCAACGATATCTAAACATCCAGTGCAGGGGCCTTAGGGCCAGGCAACCCGAGCAGTTGCTCCAGATCGTCTAACTGGAAGGAGGCGCCTGCCATTTGTTGGGAGTAAAAATAAAAGTTACAAAGCGTATTAGAATAATTAATTTTAGTCTATTAATAAAACAACTGAAGAGAGACATATTTAATTAAATAAAATTCAACTATTACTTAATACACAACAATTCAAGAAATTAATTAATTTTTTGAGAGAAAATTACGTCATTGTAATATATTGGCGCGTTGAAAAAAAATCTTATGGCACATAAACTCTCGTCAGTTTTCATTGTAAATGAAGAATGTATTCTTACCATATAAGAATGTATGGTGTACCATACCCTGCAGATGTTCCAGAAAATTTACAAACTGTTTACAAATAACGTTTGCAGCTATCTTCAAAATATTACAAAGTATAGTTGTTTGTTTGTTTCGATGTCTAGGCGCAAAACATCCAGGTCATAAGCGCCCGATGAACTAAATAACACCACTTCATACTGTTTGGATGGTTGGTACAAAAAATATATATAAAAAAAAGGATAAAAAAAATAAAGAAATGGACTGATAGAATAAAATAAATAAATAAGGATAATAATAGACTCTTATAGATAATAAGATAGAATAAATAAATAAATAAAATTTAAAAAAATAGCAGTAAAATCAATAAATGAATTGAAATTAATAAACAATTGAACTTTAAAAAAAATAAAAATAAATAATAATAATAATAATAATAATAATAATAAAAAATCTGCAAAGGATCATTAATTATAAGCTTGTCATATATGTTTTTAAAGCCTTTCACTATCCAGGAACTTGATAACTTTGGTGAAGATTTCTTCTTGATTTCCCAGGG